GCCCGCGGTCTCGCCGGCACCTGCCTCCCGTCCCGCTCCCTTACCGCGGTGAAGCGGCAGAAACGTTTAATGCGCTGCTGAACTTCATTTAACCCCAGCTACGTGGGCTGTTTATGTGAGGTCGGTGCTGTCGGGTTCCTACCAGACCGCACGGTGCAGCGGGTGTCGCAGGCCCTCCAGGGCGGTGCAGGGGAATAGAACGCGTGTTGTCTTCGCCTTTTGCGCGGGGGGGTTTAAGGCGGCCCGTGGGAAGCGCGGGTGTGCCATCCGGGATGTCTGCTGTTAGCGCAAGGCGGGCAATTCTACATCAGAAAGTGCAGGAAACACACCGGTTCCTCACGAGCAGAAATGATGCTTCACAGGCTACCCTTGTGAATGTGCTGAAGTACCATATAGTGATTAGCGGTGGACGATGGGCCATGTTTGTATGTTTGTCCGAACCTTCTAGAAGAACAATTGACAATGCTGAGTGCTACAGAGCAAACTGAACTATGTTCTCTCTAGCACACGATGTGTCTTTGCCAAAGTGGACTTCTGGAGAACTTGCTTGTCGTAACATACCCTGCTATGTATGCCTCAATGTTTGTGAGTAACCGAGTGGTTTTCTGATGCTGTAGTAACTTGAAAAAGATGTGATGACATACTCCTGTGAGAAGGGGGAGCATGACCCTTTCCCTTATCATGCCACCCCTTTAGTGCAGTGTGTGCTATGAGCAAGATAATGTGCTATGAGGAGCAGAGTCCAGGCAGGCTGGCTTCCTGGAGCTCAGCCCAGCCTGCAGAGTCTTTTCTAGACTGTTCCTTCTTCTGGATCTTTGTAGCTTGGACTCTACTGACTGTTCTTTTTTTTTTTGGTGTTCTGCCTCAATTTTGGCTGTAATTCTAAGCTGTATGTAGCTTCTCCTGCAGGTTGCCACCTGTGGAAGAAACTGTCTTTTTTCTGTAGATTGCCAAGTTACTACAGGGTAAACTGAGTAGCTCGCTACCGATTTGTGTGTTGGTAGCCTAGAAGTGAATCAGTAATGCCTGTTTCCTTGTAGCTGTAAAGAAACACAGGATCATTTTGACCTGATTATAAGTGAAGTCTTATAATTGCTTAATCATTGTCAGGTGGAAAAAGGATTAGCTCTGGGTTTGAATCTGGAGTCTTGTGTGTGACTTAAATGCTAAGCTTATTGCTAACTAAATCATGCATTATTTGTGTGTGTGTATAGCAGCTGTGTTTAAAGTCTGCCACGTATCACTAAAGTTACTGTTCATTGTGGCACATCAGAACCTCGAAACTGCTTCTCTGAAAGTAGCTGAAAAGGGGAGTGAGGGGGTATTGTTTCAGGAACATGTGACTGCTTAAACCTGAAGGTGGCAGCAGTTATAATCTGTATCAGATAATGCCTAAATACATCTTCAGGTGTGTCATGTGGGAAGAAAGAGGCTGTTATTTAGATTAGTTCCAAATTAAGTTCAGCTGCAAGCAATTATACAATTCGGGTAGATTGTGGAAACTCTTAAAATTCAGTTGTTTGTCAGACAGGCACGATGTTCTGAAAATTGAAATCTTGATACTGCTTTCAAACAAGATGCTGACTGGACAAAATATTGTCCCGGGAAAACTATTAGAATGGAGTGTAAAAATCCTTAGAAGTGAATTAGGATGCAGCATAATGAGTAGTAGGAGAAATGTATTTCCTGGTTCTGTGGAAAGGCTTTCTTGCAACAGATGTTAATGAACATATTCTTCCTATTCCAGTACCCTTAAAAATGTTTGCCAAGTATTCTGTGATGCTTCTTGAACGTCACTACTTGTTAAATGATATATCCTCATTTTAATAGACTTTGAAGTAGAATTTTAGGTAAATACAAGTCCGTTTTGTTTAAACGGTTGGTAAGCCTTGCCTGTTGGGCTTGCTTTTGGAGTAAGCTCATTTACTGAATTCAGCCTGTGGAATGCTGTGGCTGGGGAAAGCTTGAAGCCACTGTGAGATAAGAATGGGATACTGTGAAAATAAAACATGACATCAGCCCTCTCCCTCCCCCCATTAACTGATAACGCTATGCAACTTCCTTCAATAACTATTGTGTGATTTGCTTGCTGGTAAAGTGGCTTGCAGATTTGATCTGTAGCAAGAATGTTAATTTGTATTATGGAAAGAATGTTAGACTGATATGTCTGTGTCATGGTGTTTACTGTCAGGAAGCTCTTAATTACCTCAGGCTGGTGTATGGTGCATTACATAGCATCAAAACAGCAGCAGTGGTTAAAATAATTTATTTTGCTATTTAGAAGAACTTACCTGCTGAATTGTGTTCCAGTCTTCCTTACCCTTGCTCTGCTCCCTAAAGGAGGGAACTAGTGTAATTTTGCAATGTTTTTCATAACTAGACATTCCAGTAATGGTCTGATGTTAAGTTTCTTGCAGTGATGAGGTAAGGCTTAGTGCTAGCCTGCAAGGATTTCATTTTCTGATTGAGATGCACAGAAAATGGATTAAGTTCCAGGCCAGTTGTCTGGTCTAAGGACAATCTGAATGAAGGTAAATGGGATGCAGGGTTGCTGGCTTCAGTTCCCTTATATTTCTGTGGGTGGCCTGTGCTGAGTCTGACCCTGCATACTTGGTTTCCTTACAGACTTGCTGCTAGTCTTGGAGTTGGTATCAACCTTATGAGGTCTGCTGTGAACAATGGTGGTCTGTAACTGTAGTCAAGAAATGGTGTTACCTTCTGTGACCCGTATCTCAGCAGTGAAGTGTTCAGGCCCACTGCACCCTCAATACACGGGCTGGGGAATTACACCACTGTTTTGCCTCAGTAACTAAAGAGTCAAAATAATTGGCTTAAGTAAAACACTGTTTATACTTGTATTTCAACTCCTTTATTTTCTTCCCCCTTCCAAAGAAGTACCTGTGCTGACACCTCTGCAAACCTGAGGAGGTGGCCTTAAATACAGCTCACTAATATTTGGAGGAAGCATCCTTGTTTGAGAAGCTGTTTTGGGAACTTTGTACTTTCTGTTAATATTTTTCTTCTAAATGTTCCTTGTAACTGTTTATGTGGTTCACTGACCAGCACTCTCTGCACTCTGTTCCAGGGCTTGCTTGTGAATAGCTCAGAGTTCCCCATCTGAGAATTTAATACAGCTTTAATAGTGGTAAGCCAAGGAATGAAAATTCTTTGCATCTACTCTGGTGGATTTCTAAACCTGCAAGAATTGAGAATTGGGAATCTAGTCTCTCCTCTGCTGTGAAGAGGATAATGCAGCTTGTTCATAATACTTGGCTAATGACAAGTAAGATTATCTCAAAAATCAACAGAAGTTGATCATCCAGAAGTTCCTGGATGAAAGTGGGAAGCTTGCCTGTTGAAGGATGAGCCACTCATATTGAAATGTACTTTTCTGGAGGAAAAAAATAGCTAATTGTGGAGAGTCGAGCCCATATGTTCTTTGTCCTCGAGTCTGAGACAAGTAAGAATGTGTCTGTGTCAAACTACAGTGCAAATACCCTGTTAAAATACAAAAGGTGAACCTTCTTACTACTTTTTAAGAATGAGCTCAGTTTAGAGTTTATGAGGTGGGGTTCATAATTTAAGAGCTGCATGAGGAACTGATACAGACTGATCTGCACAGTACTGCCTGTTGCTGGCAGGTGCTGTAGGGTCTCTTGGGGGAGGCCTGTCTGAGAAGGGTGGGAGCAGTAGAAGGAGAGCCAGAGCTGTTAGGCCTAAAAAGGGCTTGGGGGGTAATTGGGTAGAGACAAAACCAAAATCATGAGATCCTTTCCCAGCTCTTAACCCTTCACTGGAAGAAATGTGTGCCTGAAGGGGAGATGCTGAGAGAAACGAGCATCTTCCTGGAATGCGGCTGACCCCTCCTTTCCAGACCCTGTTCCATCACTGTCAGACTGATGTTCTGGGATCATAAAACTTAGTTTTTCCCTGATTGCTAGGAAGCCTTGAGCTGACTGATGCAAATTCATTGCTCTATAATCTGATAATTCAGAGGGGTTATTCTGACATACTTCAGTTTCACAGAAATCAATAGAAGCTGAATCTAGAAGGGGTAGGAATAGATTGTTACCTTGTTTGCTCCCTTGTGGTGAGCAGGGTGAGCTGGAATGTGTCTCAGTTGTTTTTCATAAGATGCTCGGTGTTCATCCCTTAGGGGAGGGGGAGTAAGGTTTCTTGTGGGCTCAGAAACAGAGGAAGGATCTCTTGTTTTGATTTTGAGGTGAATGCTGATTTGAGGGCTCAAGTCTAGATTCTAACCTTTGCCCAGAAGTGGAGTAAATGAGGAGTAATAGTGCAGGTAAAACAGTGGCTGAAGTGGTAACTAGATTTTTATTTGAACTGAGACTAGTTAAATTCCACTGTTGGAGTCCTGTTGAGTTAAACTTCACAGTATTGCTGCACAAGTAAAATTCAGTGAACCTAAAGCTTCTTGAACATTACATGCTAATGGACCTGGTATTGGAAGATTTTGGAGAACATGGCATTCTGCTTCTTTGTGGCTGGACTTCTGTGGGGAGGACACTGATACAATTGATGTTAGCATTCCAGTGTATTATCTTAACTTGTTCTCCTGGAGAGATTTCAGGCTACTGAACTATGCTAAAAATTTTTACCAACTTTGGTAGCTGTTTTACTGTCTTTGTTCTGCCAAAGTATTATTAAAATGCCTGGGTGAAAACACAGAATCTTATACTTCATTCAATATGAAGTGTTTGTATACAGAATCCCTAATTCTGTTACGAAAGACGCTTTCTCTGTAGTATGTTTTGTTAGGTCTTTGACAGTGGTACAGCAGGACATTCAGAAGATGATGTGCCTAAGAATTGAGTAAATAGTTGTATAACTTGCTTATGGACATGATGTAACTGCTGAGTAACAATGCAAATACAATGACATCTTCTACTTTAATGGCTGTTTGTCTAAATTTCAAAATGCTTCTTAAAAGGAACTGAAACCTGATAGGTCTGTAAAAGATACCTCACTTGACCATATCGAAAGGCAAACACCATCAATGACAAATGAAACTGTCACAGTTAAATCCTACTCATTGTTTTCAGTACCAAAGGTTGTAAGACTTAATTTCCAGTGGTTTGGAGAAAACAGTGATGTGCTTAGATTCCATGGTATGTTTTTCACTTTAGCTATCCCTTTTACTATTAGTTATATCATTAGAATTATCACTGTGCTCTTAATCTAGAAAGGATTTGGCTGTTTTAAAGTTATGATTATGTTTTTTTTAAACAGTAACGTAATGCTTATTAGATTGTCTGATCAGCTAGCTTCTGTTCTTCCAGCAATTTGAGCTATTTCTGTGTTTACAGGCATGAAGCCACACACTTAAGTGATTCCATTTAAACCTTTTATTTAACATTAATACTTGTGTATTGCTTTACAGCTCAGCATGATAGAATTTAATAAACTTCATAGTGAATATGGCTTATAACAATTTTTAGTGGGCTTTCTGTTAAGCATTAAACAGTTCTGGTAATGTATATAAGGCTTTGTAAATTTCCTGCTTTCTTAGTGTTAGTAAATCTAAAGCTGTCCAAGGTGCAACTAGAAGAATAAATCTGTATCCCCCCTGATGTTGCCTCCCTGCCCCAAGTTAAATTAGGTTGAAGCTGGATGTTGTGTTCTGCCAACAAACTCTCAACAGAGTATTTTAATGTGTTCCTAGAATTACAGCAATGCATTAGCCAGTATTTTCAGATGCATTTAACTTTTGGGGTGGAAAGAAATTGATTTAATCTTAAAAGTGCCTGAGCCAGAGTTTGGGGAAGCTTTAATGTACTAATGTACTCTCTTGATTCTGTAGACTTAATCTATTTTAGTATGAAGTCCTTTGTTTTTCTGTTTTACTTAACTTGTAGATGGCTTATACATCCATACTTCTGTCTCTCTGAAGAATGCTGTGGATAGGTTGAAGGAGGTCCAAGTGAATATAGTAACTCAACTGTTTCAGTTAATAAGTATTCCACCCTTTCTTTTTCATTCCCACATTTTAATCAGATACGATAGCTATCCACTAATGTAGCACTGGGCAGATGCAGGGGTAAGGGAGCAAGAAGAGGGAAGGAAATTTAGAATTGTGATTCTCAAAACAGTACTAATTGGCTAGTGGTGGTTATTTCCTGCTGTGTGGGAACATGAATGTGGTGAGCAGTTCCAAGTTAGCAATCTGCTTCTGCTCAAGGTGGGTTACAAACACTCGTGAACTAGAAGTTTCAGCTTCCTTATTGGGGTACAGCATGTCTATGGCATCTTAGTTGCATTACAGTAGCTAAAATGCTAGAATTCAATGTTTGAATGCAGTTTCTTTTCACTTCTTGCTGGAGCTCTCAAGTGTGATTCAACCCTGTCAGTAGTTCTGTAGTAAAAGAATCTACATGGCTGCCACTAAGTGTTTTAAAACTAGTTATTTGTGGTGTGTAACTCATGAACCAGGAACCGAAGACTAGAATTTCAATCTTTTCCTGTGATAATTTGTCAACTGAAATGATTCTTAAAGTACTGTAGTTGCTTGTGTGTTTTTTCAGGTGTGGGCAATTATTTAAGAGCTACATCAATCATACAGACAGCAGGCTTCATAAGCTCAGGTTTTCTGTGGGAGCTCCCCTCCTCCCATAAATCTCTTCCTCCTGTTTTGCCAGGGAATGAAATGTTGTTTCTAATTCCTTTCTAGACAAAGCTTATCAGTTTTTTTCTTTGATGGTGAGATACAGGTTTCTAGATGAGGAGGATTTGTGGAATATGGTGTTCTCTCCCGCTTCCTATTATGGGAAGAACTCTTTGGACTTAAAGATTATTTTTTTTTAAGCTGAAAAGGTGGCAATATAGCTATAGCAATTGGAAACACTTGTGCACTGCAGTTTTGTCTCTATAGTCTCATGCTTGGTTGCCTTGTGTCAATGTGTGCTTTTCCCTGATACAGTACGTGGTATGCTAAACCTTCTCTATCACTGTCTTGGGGAGGGTCATAGCAGTCTCTTCTTCTGCTTGACCACATACTGAACATGAATTCACCAAATAAAAAGGCACATGAAGATGCCTCAGTGGGCAAACCACATTAAAATGAGAGCTTGATTTGGAAAGTACCTTGAGAGACCATATAATCTAGCCTCCTAGCTTCACTATGTCCGTTATCACCTCTAGTAGAGGTTTGTCTAACGGATTCTTAAAGATTTACAACATGAGATGCTTGATAGCTTTGCTAAGCAATCTAAAGCATGTATTCATCTTCTCTTTTTGAAGGGTGTTCCTGATCTGTAATCTGTGTCTGTTTTCTTCAGCTAAGGCCTATTTCTTCTATAGGTGTGGAAAAAATGCCCTTCACTGAGAGCTTGATCCATCTTGGGGAAAAAAATTCTTACCTGTTTCATGCAGTTTCTTCAGCATAAACAACATCACTGCATTTCATGTTTTGGATCCTGCTTCCAGGGCTTTCTTGTCTTTCTCACTTCAGATTCTCCTCCAGTCAGTTCATCTCGCATGAAGTGCTGCACCCCAAAAGGGATGTAGGACTCCAAAATAAGTTTTGCTGTGGTAGTCTGTTTTGCAGGTTGCACATGTGTGTTCATACAGCCCTGCTTGGTGCTTGACTTGTATATATAATTAAATTGTCACTGATTCATGTTTGGACTGTAAGCTGCAGTCATTTAAGATCTTACTTGGAATTGTGGCCTAGCGAGCTGTTTAGCTGGCAGGGTTGTGGTTTTGTGTTCTGTGTTTTTTTTTTGTTTGGTTTTTTTTAGCTAACTAGTCCTGCTTATTAAGGTCTGTCTTAGCCCTGATGTTCTACAGATCAGTGATGAGAGAGCTGTGTTCCTGTAGTAGACCTGGCACTGGGCTTGTGTTGCCTTTTCTCCTTCCCTCACCACTGGCTGAGGCAGCCCACAGCTTGAACTTGCATTGCAGCTGCCTGCCAGGATATGTTTATAGCAATCATCAGCTGTGGAATTACTGGTGATCATCCCATTTACCCAGGCACTGTGGTAGGATGATCTTGTGAAAAGCTGTACTTTTTCTAGGTTTGAAGTCTTGTAATTACTGAATTTGGCTAATCTTTTGAAGGTGTCAATGAACAAATGTTTTCTTCCCCTTTGTGTTAGCAAACTTCGTATCTGTGCTCCAAAGAACACTGTTTTGGGACTGCTGAATTAGTATTCTTTCATAGAAGCTCTTAGTTTTATTGTATGTTTTGAAAGCAGATGAACAATTTTATCTGGAATGTCAAAGGAAAACTCTGCTTGAGGCAGTTATCTGCCACTGCTAAACTTCAGTAGCTCAGGATGAGGTTGTCCTAGCTGTAACTGGTGAGAACTTTATAGTGGAAATTGCTTGCAGCTTTAGCTGATCATGTTTGTGTTTAGCTCTCCAAGGGAGCTCTCCTTGTGCCTAATTATAAGGAGGGATCAGACTGTAGATCAGTTAACAGACTATAGATCAGTTAACAGCATAGCTGAAACTCAAAGGCTATCTAAAAATCAGTGGGAGTTGGGTGTATGTTTTTCCACTCTATTAAACTACCATACAATCATTTCATGTCTCTTCCATGATCTACAGAGAAAGGCATTTTTTAGTACCAGTACAGCATTAGCTAGTAAGGTATTATAAAGTGCTACAGAACAAGCATGAAGCTCATGCTAAGCAAATAACGTGCTAGGTATAATTTTACATTTAAGAAAACGGGGGAATACTGATTGTGTAAGGGTGGCTTGCTCAAATTAAAGTGCTGCTGCTGTTCTCACCCTTTCCTAGGTCATGTAGCTGAAATTGCATGAGGGAATCATGCAACTTCTGTTGATTCCTAAGGGAAGCTGGATGAGGGGAAAAGATATAGAACAGACTAGTTAATTAAGCACTTGTAAGCCTGTTGATCTCAATTCTTCTGAATAAAATAATTCTGAAGTTATTCCAGAAGGGACCTATGAGGGTTTTTCCTATCCTTGTGTCTAGGATGTGTCATAGTTTGGTTTTTTTTTTATAGAGGGTTAGAATTGAGGAAGCAAGCAGTTGAGGGTCTAGTGCCTCTAGAGATCATCTTTTCCCTGTGACACACCTGGTGATACCTTTTTCCAGTGCTTACAGGTTGGGTTTTCTGTCTCCAGTCACTTTTTTGCTCACTGTTTTGCCAAATGTTATGCATCAGCCTGACCTCAGATCATTGAGACTTTTTCCATGGTAGTAGAGATGACCACAAATGATGCATTTCACAGTGGCTTTTTAATTATGACATGGATATTCATATCTCCTTGATATACCTGTTTCTTATAACTTTCCCTGGAAAGTTGAGGATTGCCTTACACAAGGGTTCCTGTTACACTATCTGGGTGTCTCATTGATGTGTATCAGGCAGTAGTCCTTACACAGGTGAGTATTAGCACTTAAATGAGTGTACTGCAAAAGCATCAATGTCCTGTGATGCAGTAGAATCTGCTGTAAAGAAGCTGTTAATTTGTGTCTCTTGGCTTGTTTTAGATCTTAGCAGTGCAAGTTAGCTTGTATTTCAAAGTGGTAATAATGTAGATCTTAACTTCCTTGTCTCTGAAGTTTTGTCTGAACATATCATGCATTGTTAGACTCCAATACCTGGAAGGCCTAAGGAGGCATTATGAAGATAACTATGTAATTGGGAATCATGGAATTGTTTAGGTTGGAAAAGACCTTTAAGATCATCAAGTCCAACTGTTAACCTAGCACTGCCAAGTCCACCACTAAACTGTATCCCCAAGTGCCACGTCTACATGTCTTTTAAATACTTCCAGGGATGGTGACTCAACCACTTCCCTGGGCAGCCTGTTCCAGTGCTTGACAACCCTTTCAGTAAAGAAATTTTTCCTAATACCCAATGTAAACCTCCCCTGGTGCAACTTGAGGCTGTTTCCTCTTATCCTATTGCTTGTTAAAGGGGAAAAGAGACTGACACCCCCCCCCCCCCCCACTACAACCCCCCTTTCAGGTAGATGTAGAGAGCGATAAGGTCTCCCCTCAGCCTCCTTTTCTTCAGGCTAAACAACCCCAGTTCCCTCAGCCGCTCCTCATAAGACTTGTGCTCCAGGCCCCTCACCAGCTTGGTTGCCCTTCTCTGGACACGCTCCAGCACCTCAATGTCTTTCTTGTCGTGAGGGGCCCAAAACTGAACACAGTACTCGAGGTGCGGCCTCACCAGTGCCGAGTACAGGGGAACAGCCACCTCCCTGCTCCTGCTGGCCGCGCTATTTCTGATACGGGCCAGGATGCCTTCTTGGCCACCTGGGCACACTGCTGGCTCATATTCAGCCGGCTGTCGACCAGCATGCCCAGGTCCTTTTCCACTGGGCAGCTTTCCAGCCACCCTTCCCCAAACCTGTAGCGCTGCACGTGGCCTTGTTGAACCTCATACAACTGGCCTTGGCCCATGAATCCAGCCTGTCCCGATCCCTCTGTAGAGCCTTCCTACCCTCAAGCAGATCGACCCTGCCTCCCAACTTGGTGTTGTCTGCAAACTTGCTGAGGGTGCACTCAATCCCCTTGTCCAAATCATAGATAAAGATATTAAACAGAACTGGCCCCAGTACTGAGCCCTGGGGAACACCACTTGTGACTGGCCACCAACTGGATTTAACTCCATTCACCACCACTCTTTAGGCCCAGCCATCCAGCCAGTTTTTTACCCAGCAAAGAGTACACCTGTCCAAGCCATAAGCAGCCAGTTTGAGGAGAATGCTGTGGGAAACTGTGTCAAAGGCTTAGTAAAGTGCAGGTAGTCAAGATCCACAGCCTGTCCCTCATCCACTAAGTGGGTCACCTTGTCATAGAAGGAGATCAGGTTAGTCAAGCAGGACCTGCCTTTCATAAACCCATGCTGACTGAGCCAGATCACCTGGTTGTCCTGTATGTGCTGCATGATGGCACTATTCATGGAAAACCTTTCTGAATAACTTCTGAGTAACTATAGTTACCTTCTTATTAGTTAGGCATGCCATTGACTGCTTACATCAAGACCTGAAATTGCTTTTTTCCTTTTAGACAAGGGGAATCAAACTGCCCCCTAGGTATTCCCAAATATTGTGTTTTAACAGATACCTTGTATGATACATTAACCATTCTCCATATGTATTTCAGAAAATCTCCTTGGAATATCTGAAGTCCATATGGCTATGTATGATGAAGATATCTTGAAAAATCCCTTTTATTTGGCCATTCAGAAGCGGCGTCCTGATCTATGCAGCAAAGTTGCAGAACTCCATGGTATTGTAAGTATAAATAAGGAGATTTATAAGCTGCTTATTAAATAGTAGCTATATGAATTTAAATCAGATGCCTGCTATGACACATGTAAAGATTAGTGCAAGCCTGCAAAACTTGGAAGTGAAGCAGAGCAACTTTTAGTTGAAGTTGTTTGTTATTTACTAATACGGACTTCTTGGTATACTGCATGGTAGTTAAAGGTCAAAGTTGGTGGTGTTTCTAAACTTTACAGGAAGCTTATTTTCTTTGCTCTGAACTAAAGTTACATATTCTCCTGCTTGCTTGTAACTTACAATGGGATTGACCTTTTGAAATCCCTGGTGGACAGACAATCAGTCATTTCTGACAGCATTTTACATAGCAAAATAAGGCAATTAAACTGAGCTGGAATAAAAAATCCAGTCCTTAAGACTTCTAATCTGGGTAGTCTGCAATTAGTCTTCATCCAAAATTAAGTATGTGGAGACTCTATTGAACTTGGAGGTTATTGTTACCTGATTATAAAATAAGCTTTAAGTTGGACAGGGTTCTTTCAATTGAGTATTAAGCTGGTGATGTGAACAGCTGAAATGCTGTTCACCAGTTCTGTCTGTATTCTGACACGATTTCTGAAAGCTGAGTAATGAAAGAACCATTTGTTTCATGCTTCTCTTCCTTGACAATGAGATTTATTTCTTTCCAGCATGTATACAGTGTTTGTTATATTCATAACGTGTTGCTTTCTAATTAAGAATTTGTCTCAAACTGCCAGTCTGTTGGTGTGCAGCAGACCCAAGATGTTTCTTATCTTAGATCTTTTCTTCTTCTTTCTGATGGATTTTCATTTTAATTTGAAAATATACTTCACTTTTATTAGCTGCCTAATTAAGTCATTCAGGTGACTGGTGCTAAGTAACTTAAGATTTCATCTCTATCTCTTAGTATTGTTTGCTTCAGTTACATGTCATCCTTTTTCAGATAAGTCACTAAATGAAACTTCTAGGTTAATCACTGGACTGTGTGTCTATTGATGGCCTTTCCTTTTTATTTATTTAAACAAAAGCACCTATAGTTGCTATACATTTGCTAGTAAATGTTTATAAGCCAGATTCAATTGCTTGCCTCTAAAGGGTGAAAGCTATTGGTGTTTAGCTGGCGATGCATGGCATTTCTCTCTAAAGCATGATTTAACTTTTTCAGGTGTTAGTTCCATGCAAAGGAAGCCTTTCAAGCAACAGTCTTTCTACTTGCCAGTTTGAATCTTATGTTCTGAAGCCACTGGAAGAAAATTTCCAAACCTTAAATGGAAAGGTATTTCTGTTTTGATATATGAATGTGGCTTGGGGACACTCGCTGCAGTTGATAACTGATAGTGTGAACTAATGGTTACAGGAGAGGTAGCTAGGAGTTAGAGCTGATTGGCAAAAGTAGTATGTTGCCCATCTAAGCCAAGGTTCTCGGGGATATGCTGCTTTCTAGAAGAAGCTGTGGTTTTGGCCTGTACATAAGTATAGTTGTCCTGTTCAGATGGTAACACTGCTTCTGATTTCAGTGTACTACTTTGGCAAAGCAAATTTGTCAATTTATCTGTGTTTTGTGGCTGTTAAGAATTTTGTTGTGTGGCAGAAGGGCCTTTGTCACTTAAGAACTGTCTCTCTAGCTTTCAGGCAAATAGTAGCCTGCCTATATTGTATGCAGATGGGAGCTCACTGAGGCTTAAGACAAAATTAGGGTGGTGTTGAGTTGTATCTGAGGCCTGATGCATTAATTCAGTTCAGTAAGTAGAGCAGAAACTGACTAATATAGCAGCGAGCCATGGTAACTAATGCTAACACTGCATAGGATCACATTTTCTTCACTTGTAATTTTGCAGTACAGTCTGAGATCTTGCACCTGTTTGCAGGCTATTGTCTAGATCTTCCTACTGCAGAGGTCCTCACTAGAGTTGCTTGAGAAGATAAAGCTGAGCATGAGAAATGTAGACAAGATGTGTGGTGTTCTTCTGAAGCTGGACTTAGGCCCCAGTTCTAAGTTGTTTTTCAATTTCCCTTCTAAGTGCTCTAAAACTGCAAATAGTCACTTAGACCTTGCAGATTGTCTGAAACCTCCTCTAGTAGTAGACTTGTAAATAAAGTAGGTATAAGCAAGGTTTAGCTAGCCATCTAGAAGGAATCTTTGTTTCAGGGTCTATGCAGCACAAGAATATGAACTCTCTTGAATTTGGGGCTTTCTTGTCTTGCAAGATTCTCTTCTTTCCCTGAAAATGTAACTGCAATGCAGAAGCCAAAGAGTAACTTTACTCTGGCAGAGTTTTACACTTGATCTGGTTTTTGCTTTGTTTCAGGAGATCTTCATACAAGGAAACATCATCATTTTAGGAACTGGTTTTAATTATCATCTCTCAGTACCTGTTCTTTTTGAGGAAACATTTTACAATGAAAAAGAAGAAAGCTTTAGTATATTGTGCATAGCTCATCCATTGGAAAAAACAGAAAGCTCAAGTATGTATTGAAATGTTAACTTGGTGGTCTTCTTTGCACAGTGAGCAAATTGGTATGTTTGATATGCTTAATACATTTCCTTTATTCTGAAAAGTGTTGGCTTGGTTGAAAGCACTTGGCATTTATTGGCCTGCTGGGGCAGATGTTGGTATGCTGCTGGAGAGAAATATTAAGTTGCTGCCAGGCAAACTTATTTCCATAGGGTCTATGCCTCAGTCTCAGCACTAAAAATTATTTGTGGAATACTTGATCCAGCATGATGTTTTTTAGCAATGCTCAGTTTAGTGCTGACTGCTTAAAAAAGGGATTTAGTCTTAAATGTGAAATGTATCTTGAGATGCTAGGTGGATGCACAAAAAACTGGAGAGATAAATTCTTTCGTGATCACTTCAGTGGTTAGAGGTTGAATAGCATAGTTATACAGCAGCTCTTCTGGTTGTGGTCTGTCTCAAAGTTGAATGCGTTTAATTTTTGTCTTAGTACTGAAACTGCTTTTAAGGCTGGAACAGTATTTCCAAGGCTGCTGTTAAAGCTGTGAATGTAACAGGATTTCCTTGTGAATTTGTATAACAATCTGTATTTACTAATTAAAAGGAACAGAAGCTTCTTAAAACATGCTTTTTCTGAAACAAAACCCTCTAGTCTTCCTAAATACATAAGAATATCTATTTGAAACATATGATGACAAAATGAAGTAATACTAGGGTAGTGTGAAAATAGTACTGTGAGGGAAGTATGAAAGATTTTCTGGGGGAAAAAAAAAGCTGGCATACATATAGGCTTAAATTCTATAAATATTAATCTAAATATAAAAAAATTATTCTTGTGGCATTCCCTTTTTTGGCCATTACTTAATGTAGTTGTATAGCAGTCTTTCAGAAGTGAGGTAATTTGTAATTTCAGAAGTAATTTGAAATGAATGAGATCTAAGCCTGTTATTAGTTTGCTGCCTTTGATTGCAGATGAGAGACTTGTTTAGAAAAAAATTTTTGGAAAAGCAATATGAATTTTAAGTGAGGGATCCAATTGTCTTATTCAGAAGAAAAGTGGTTTTGGTTTAATGTTTACATGAAGCAACTTTGCTCTCCCATTCAGAGAAAGCATGTCTAAATAAAGCGTAGGTTATGTAAAAATCCAAGATGGGATTTTTACAACTCACTTAGAGGACACTGACTTCCTGCATGGGCATTCAGTGAATACTGTAATGTGTTTTTTCTTCTACTTTCAAGCTTGACTTGCACTCAGATTGAGTTGTGTATGTGGCAATAAATTACCCCAGGGTAGAAAAGCATATGAAATCAGTTTTAGCTATTCCAAATAAATACTTGACATAAAAGGCAAGAGACCCTGCTCTAAATGTGATGCATTAAATTCTTTTAGTTAAAAGCAATACCTTCTGTTAAAGGTATAGTAAGCTGAATTAATGTTTCATTGCACACGAGTTGGCTGTGTATGTAGGGATAGGAAGCGCTTTACCATGTGTACATATTAAGCCTATGTGTAAATTCTTGGCTTTCATTTTAGGTCAATCTACAGCTTCATCAAACTCCTATTCTCTTAAAAATATTGAAGATGTTAGAGAATTCTTGGGAAGGCACTGCGAGAGATTTGATAAATACATAGGATCTTTCTATAGAACATTTAAAGAACATGAAAGGAAGAGCCTCCGCCACTACATAGTCAGTATCTTCTTGATGTTTAATTTACTAAATGTAATTTACTTCACTGCTTTGGATATCTTTGTCTTATTGAGCTTTTCTGTGTCAGAGTAGTCTAGAGTTGAGGAAGGTGGGAAGGGAGAACATAGAATTCTTAATTGTGAATTACCACATCTTAACTTTTGGGTAAAGGCAATTTTTGTAGCTAAAAATCTTACCAAAGTGCACCCTTCTAAGGCAGGGAAGACCTCCTTTCTTTGCTTATTTATGCTTTGTTGCTTCAAGACAGATTAACCTGAATCTGATTGCTTTTTCTTGTCTTTGCCTGCCCCCAGGATTCTGTCAATGCACTTTATACCAAATGTCTCCAGCATCTTTTGAGAGATTCGCACTTGGTAAGCACTTACTCCACTAAATACATAGTGTTACTTAAGAAATAAATTATCTAACTTTCTCTTGCTGTTTGTATGGCTTTACTTTTCTAGAAGATGCTTGCAAAGCAAGAAGAGCAGATGAATCTGATTAAGCAAGCCGTTGAAGTAAGCATTTGAAATGAAGAAAAATAATTAGCAAGCTATTTTTAACTCTCCCTTTCATGCCTAAAGTACTGTTTTTTCTACAGATGTATATCCACCATGCTATTTATGATCTAGTCTTCAAATATGTGGGGACCATTGAGGCAAGTGAGGTAAGATTGATTGGTTGCTAAAGATTAGTTACATTAATTTAATGCATCTTAACCTGTTGCCTTTCTGTTGATTAGGATGCTGCTTTTAACAAAATCACAAGGAGCCTTCAAGACCTGCAGCAAAAAGACATTGGAGTGAAGCCTGAGTTCAGGTGGGAGATGATTGTGGACTCTGAGGAGTTACTGAGATCCTGTCTTAAATAGGTCTCAGGCCAGCCAAAAAGTGTCTTCCTTCAGACAATAGCAAGTTCTTCTTATACTTCATTCCTTTGAGATGGAAAAGTAAAGCTTTGCAAGTGTCATTTTAGGGCAGTTTTTGCAATGATTGTTATCACCTTTCCCTTTATGTTCTTATGCTTCCCTCTCCATCTGCAGGGTACAGAAATGCAAGTGTACTTGGAGTAGAGTTGGAAGTATTTTAATACTGTTCTTCATCTTGGTTCTGAATAAGTTAAAGCTTGGGTTTTGGACATCCTGCACAGGAACTCTGTATGCTAACCATTTCTTTCAAATTATTTTATAGTTTTAATATACCACGTGCAAAGCGAGAACTGGGTCAGTTGAACAAATGTACTTCCCCTCAACAGAAGCTACTTTGTCTACGAAAAGTGGTACAAATTATTATGCAATCTCCTAGCCAAAGAGGTCAGTAATTGGCGAATTAACTTAATTTTAAACATTTTTCTTAACTAGTACACACAAAGCATTTTGCTATTCACAGCAGTTTATATACCACTTGTGGATTAAACAGTTAGGCTGGGGTCTGCCTTGCAGGTCTCTAAACAAAGCAAAACGGAGGCAAGATAGCTACTTCAGCATTATTTCTCATGGGGTGAGGTGGGGTACTTGCTTAGCTTATATATGTTTTAGCTAGAGCATGTGAGAAGCTTGCATGTGCTAGAACATCTTCTCATGCAGAAGAATTGAGGGTGATCCATTTTAAACACTGAGGATTGCTGCTAGATCATTTTTGTCTATTTGTCCATGCGCCTTGATAATCTTGAAATCAATACTCTAGAGATACATCTTTTGCAAAGTGCAGTGTTAGTCGGGGACGAACAAACCTTCTATATGCTGCATTCAAAGTGCTACCATGGATTACAGAAATGATTCTGTGATAGGAAAGCATGGACTTCTTAACCTGGTATTATTTTATGTAGCCTGGAGAGAGAAGATACTTCCACTAAGCAAATGGAGTAGTACAGTGAACTTATGCTTTCCCTACTTCATCTCTTCCTTTCTCCAGGAAGACTCCTGAGTTATAGGAAAGCATATCGACTTTGACGGTAGTTTTTGCCCTCAAGAATTTGAGAAATCTTGAGTTAGTGCTCTGGCCCTTTCTGTGGAGGAAGGAGAGGATGCTAGTCAAATATTGCAATTTGTACAGTACAAACTGTATTTGTTGTTTGGCTCCTGGCAGCCTATTTAGAGGGTGACTGAGAACATTTGAAGGGCAGCCTGTGTTACTCAATGTGTTCTCTACTAGTAGAGCTGGCCCTTAGTCTCAGGAGTTGGAACTCTGTTTATAGGTATTGCTCTTGATTGAACCATGACATGACTAACACCAGATGTAAATTCTTTTTTTAGTTAACATGGAAACCATGTGTGCAGATGATCTTCTCTCTGTTTTGCTGTATTTACTTGTAAAAACAGAAGTCCCAAACTGGTATGTAACTATATTTTGGCTGTACAGAGCTCCATCAAATCATCTTGTATGTAATGCTGCTGTAGGGGCAAATGTTTCTGAACATGCAGTAATAACTTACACTTTCAGTAAGAGGGGCTGATGTAATGCAGAAGACTATTTTTAGTAGGACAAACAGCAAAGATATGTTACAGGTGTGACTGAATTAAGGACCTATCAGGAATTCAAATGCTGTGTCTTTTGGTGTTTTGATTCCCAGCCCAGAAAAAAGTTGTAATGGGAGGCCATCTCTACACCAGATCTGCATGTCAGTACAGACTTCACAGACTGGTCCTTCCTCATCTGTGTTTGGAGCTGTGAAACCTTTTTGCAGCTTCTAGGTGTTTGATACATTTCATATAGAGTAACTAGATTTGAATGCTTAATTGCTTGTTGCTAACCTGTGCCATTGTGTTTATCTCTCTTCACTATCAGTAAAAAGTATATCTAAACCTTCTACCTGTATCTGAACTGAATTTTAGTGTTGGCGTATCCCATATCTTGGAGATGAGCATTTTTCCTTTAATTTGTAGCTATCACTTTACACTGGTGCTTATGGTGCTTGAAACATTAACATGTTTGAAATGTGTGAAACAGCCTCCTGTTGCTGTTCTTATCCTGTCCTTCATATTCCTTATTTATACCCAATTAATTGAATTTCATTGAACAATTAAGAGGTAAGTAGAGTTCTGATCCATCTACAAAGCTCAGAACAGTCATAGTATTGGTAGCCTAACAATCTTTCTAGAAGCTTTTTCTTAACCCACACCTATTGCCTGCCTGGATTGCCTAAGATGAGTTGCAGTATTAAGATATGTCATGCTAGAGTCTTCTTATTTTTAGTGATTCATGGCTTTAACTTTTTATTTCAGGATGGCCAACTTGAGTTACATAAAGAACTTCAGGCTTTGCAGTTCAGTGAAGGATGAATTGGGATACTGTCTAACCTCAATTGAGGCTGCAATAGAATACATACGACAAGGCAACCTCTCTGACAGATCAACAGTAAGCTGCTCTTAAAGTCTGTCAAATGTGTACTTGATAAGCTTGTAGGACTAAGTCCAGTCAGAGGATACAAACAGCTAATGTAATAGTTCCTTTTTTGCACTTAAAGAAATGAGCTGAAGTAACTATACCTGAAGCAAAGCTAAAATGATTACAATGAAGTCCTTGTTGCTCATTGTATACTCCTTGAGGAAGTAGTTAAATATCAAGTCTATCTCCTCATGATCAGAGGAAAAATGACAGCATTATTTTCAACAGCTGAGTCTTCAGTAAGTTTAATATCTCCTGTTTGTACTCTATCATGGTTGTGAAAGCAATGCAGTACTTGAGAGTAGGCATAGCTTAAACAGATTTTTCTTTAATTTTAAAAAGCTTAGCTATGCTAGCAAAATGGTGATTGCAGTGTAACTTAGAATTATTCAGTAAATCTTTGTACTCCAAAAATTCAGTGTGTTTGCAGTGCAGATTACTGTGTTGTACCAAGCTAATAGTTTAGTGGGAATGCAGGACTATGATAAGGTTGCGTTTTTGAAGGTCAAATTTGGCTCTTGGGTTCTCTAACCTAGCAGGGGCAGGAAGTTTGTGGATGCATGAGTTATTTCCTACTGGGCAACTAGACCTTCTGTCAATCAGGTCAAATCCCTGCAGGCCAATCAAGGATGATATTGATGTGATTTCAGAAACTTCTATGATTTAAGAACTTTGTAGCTTATTTACTAAAGGAGTCCAGTCTTACTGCACCTGTAAAACTTTCTGCTGTTGCAAAATTAGGTTTTCCTGATCTGATGTGGAAATCAAAAGAAGCGAACTTGGAACCAGAGTGAATTCAATGTGTCTCAGTCTGCCCAACTGCAAAGCACTGGAATCTAATTGCAGGGGCCAGAATAATGGCTCAGTGTGCAGGGCTTGGGATGGGACAAATTGGGGCACAATCTTAAAGCAGCAGCACTTAAAGTAACATTTTAGCTTTCTGTTATTTCTGGTTTTGTTATTTTCTGGGACCTTTCCATGAACCTGTCGTGCATAAGTTTGTTTTGTACACTCCAAAAAAAGCACTCTTTGATTTTGTGTAAAGAGACTGTGATATTTCTTGTCTGTAATGCTGTATTGAATTATGTTTAAAAAAAAAAAATAAAAATGTTAGTTTAAAAGGAAAACAACCTGCCAAACAATTTTGCTTCCTGTAGTCACTTGGCTATCATTAACAATCAATACACAAAAAGCAGTGCTGGTGGTCTGGATGGAGAATTGGAACCAAAGTAGAATTGTCTTCTACAACAATGCCAGCAAACTGGAAAAAAAAAGCCAAACCTGGTCTTAAATTTCTAGAATAATGACTGTTTCCTATTAAATGTCTGGTCCTATCCCTCCTTATATAGCTAAGGATAGCAGTTTTTTATGCTGGGATCACCCTCAAGTGATTATAACTTAAGTGCCACTGCCATTAAGATATTATATTTCTTTGGGGAGGCATCTGTCTTGAAAGATGAACTACATATTTGAGAAGTGTAGATGAGAGCAGTCTCACTGCTTACGTTAGTGTCTGCACCAACATAAGAGAATCCAGTAAGTGTTTCTCTCCATACTTCAGCTGGATCAGCTCCAGACCTAGAGTGCTAGCCTCTTTCTCACTTCAGTGAGCATGCAACAGGAGCTCCTTTCTTCTACATTGCCCTTCATAGGAGTCAACATTGCTTGAAGGCAGCACCCTGAGATGAGATGGAAAACAGCAGAACCTTGAAGACAAGGAAGTGGGTGACTCCCTGCCCTCTAGCATAGCTGAAAAGGAAAGAGCTAGACCACCCTTTTCTCTAGTGTAGGATAAGGGAGAAGGTGGCACACATTGAAGAGGAAGAAACTAGGTAGCAAATAACCCCTTGACAGGAATTGGAAAAGGGTAGTGAGGAGGTAGAGGAACATGATAGGAACTTCTGATAGCATTGCTCTCCCTTCATGAACTTATCAGTTGAGATATTGCCTTTATTCTCTGGTAAAGGAGATCAACTTTCTGTTTAAAGCAGCAGCAGCTGTCATGTTGATGCCCCATGGTTTCTGTTTCCAGATTGTGCTGGAAAGGGTTGTGGGACTTAAGTGAGCAGGAACATTGCTATGCCCTGGGGCTTCATTACAGCCCCTCATGTGGCTACACTTAATTTTATAGCTGGCTTCAGATGGAGCTTCTGGCAGCTGAGTAATGTTGTTGTCCAATCCCTAATGAAGCTAACTACATAAAGAAAACTCAGCAGGGAGCTAATGTACCCTGTGGGATAATGGGCATATTATCACCCTCATGTCAGTAAGAAAATTGCACTTCGGAGGCACCTGCCAAATCTCTTCACCCAAGGTCATGCAAGTCTTGGAGAAATATTTTGATTGTGTGGAAGAGAGGAGCATGTAACTGGTGGCACAAAAGATTCCATTTTATTTTCTGGGAGTTGTCAACTTTATTTAACTAGAATTCCAGTTAATAAGTATTGGACTTTTAGTTATGTTCCTATGCACAGATAATGTGTAGTAAGACCTTCTAGTTCAGAGGGTTGAAGTAAGGTATAAAGTAGGGAGTTAGAGCCAGCCACTAGGGAATAGGCAGCATTTTGGTTCTTGTATGGAAAGAGCTGTAGGTGGCAATGAAGTTGGCATGGAGGAAGTGCAGGTGGGAGAAGCCAGGAAAGGAAGACTTGAACACAAAGTGAGGCTAAAAATGTTTGGAGGGGTGGGGGTGTGGAGATAACTTCCCCAAGTCATCAGCTGTAATCTGTGAAAGTCACCTTGGATAGGTTATTATACAAGTACACCCTCATAGGTACAAATATTTCATTTCTCTAGTGTAGAGAGTAGTGTTAGATGAAAAGATCATTAATGTTTGGATGTGTATTTTCTAGACAATATAGATTTAAAATACCTTAGAGTCCCACTCAAAGCAATTTTTTTTTTTTTTTAATTCCTGGAGTGCAATTAAAGCAGGTACAAGCAAGTTTTGTCTTTGAAGGCCCAAACTTGCTTAATACTTCAACCAATACCTGATTCTTCTGCCATTTTGTATTTTGCTTTCAAGGATATGTAGTTTCACCTGGGATGGACTCTTTTTTTCTGATTTATATAATAAATAATACCTCTACGTAAGGATTGCTGTCTTAAGTCACTCTTTGAAATAATTATTCCACCTGGGGACACTTCTGTTGTAAAATACGCTGTTGGAAGGAACAGTACTAGAAGTACAGGAGGTCTTGCTAGTGGTTACTTAGATTCTCCATAGTGAAAGTATAAAGCTGTCTGAGCATTCTCATTAGAAATTCTGATTGGACTTCAGAAACTTGTATCAGCAGTAAAGCTTTAACATTTTTTCTACTTAACATTTTTGATCAAGTATTTCTTAGGGAAGTTACTCCTGATCACACTGAAGAATTTATCCAAGGAGGCTAGTGTTATCTGCCTTGTAATTCTGAAAAGATACGCTTGGGTATCTTTAGCTAAAGTACTTAGGTTTGAAAAGATTGGTGAATATTTGTCATCCTGACATATCTAAATACAAACAACTTACTGTGAAGTACAGGTCTGAAGTTTTATTTCTTGACCTCACAAACGTGTTTTTAATGACATTATTTGCTATACAATGGAGGGTTTTTTCAGACAGCTTTATGAGTTGGGTTGATTTTGAAACTTGAGTGATCTGATTTCTAGAAAATCTGAACTTTCTTTTTGGTGTTCAAGTGATCTCATTTATTTGTAGTTCACTAGTTTCTTAAACTTTACGCTGACTTACTACTGTTAAGAGCTGAGTTGGACTTTTTTTTCTTATTTAATATCTGGTTTTCACAGGCTTAATTGCAGAAGCTATAGCCCAGATCCTAAGCCATCAAAGTTTATCTGATACATGGGTGTTTATCTTAAATGCAGTGGTCTTCAGTTTGATGGATGCTGGGAGTCTTTCAATTTCTAGGGAGATAGTCATTATCCAAAAACAACATCCAAAGAAATTATATTCACTGTCAACCATAAGCAGTGGTTGATCAGAATCAACTATGTGTGACTGTTTCCATCTACTTTCTTAGAAAGTGTTTTCTTTACATTATTGGTTTTATTTTATGTGAGGTTCAATGTTGCTGTTTCAAAATCTGACTCTACTTAAGAATTTTCACATAGTTTTGGAAGGATATGTATTCTTTAGTGCATCCTGAAGTTGTATTGTCAGATTTCTCAGAAAATGGGAAGTACCGATGTGAGAGTTGCACTACGTGTCTGCTTAGCTCAGTCTCCAATTTTCAAGAAGTGACCAGTAGGAAACACTATATGAATGAGTCTCCTAGAGAGTAATGCTTCACTTGGTACGGTCTTTTATTTTCCAGCAAGTAGCAGAGAGTTCAACGGAGTCTTTGAGTCAGAGTTTTATCAGGGTCATCTTTTTTAATAGCCACCAGTAGACATGTCTTACATGAATTTGTCTAATGCCTTTTTGGGTCCATTTATACTTTTGATTTTTGCAACTTCCTGTAGCAATGAGTTCTACAATACGAGAACATTTTTTCTCTTCTCTCTTCTCCCCATTCCCTCCCCAGACCTAATGTGTGATGATTTTGTTGGACATCCCAGTTCTTATATTTTGAGGAATAGTGGATATCAATTCTTTACATGTTTTCTTTGATTTTTTTGTGATTTTTGTAGACCATTGTGGCAAAGTCAAACTTTTCCAGAGTGAAGAATCCTAATTTCTCCTCGTAAGGAAGCTGCATTGCACTTCTTACAGTTCTTGTTGTCTTTTTTTAATGTCTTTTCTAGTTTTGCTGTGTTCTTTTTTAGATGGTACAACCATAATTTCATTAGTACTCAGTTGGTTCTTGGAGAATTACAATAAAAGAATATTCTGGTGAACATGTACTTACTATTTTCTTGAACAGGTGTGCGGTCTTTCAAGTGTCAGAATCCTAAATGTGAAACTAACTTAGGTTTTATGTGCATCTGATAATTCATAAGTGGCAAACGCAGTGTTTAATATTTTTAAAAGTTAATTCCACTGTTAAGGTACTTTACTTTTGCCTGTAAATGAGTATATAGATAATCAATCTATATATTTTATTTTCAGGAATCTGAGAGACTGTGTGACAAGCTGCTTTTAAGACAAAGGATGAACTTGTTGTCCCAGATGTCTGCTACTCCAATAGACTGCTTATTTAAGGTTAATAACTTTTATGGCAGAATACGTATGTACATATGTATTGCACATTTATATCCCTCCCTTTCTGCGATTTTCTGAAATGTAATGCAGTGTTAATTACATTAGTACTGTGAAATGTGTTTTAGTAGATGCTAAAAGTGTGGTTTGAATCTAGTGCATTTCTGGGCCAAAACGTTACCAAGTTAATCTTATGGATTTCAGCATGTTATACGAAATATGGAAGCAAATGAGGATGAAATGCTACTGCTGTGGGTATTGATTGGCCCATTTAATGCACAGATGTGATATTACTATCTGTTGTCTCTCACAGCTTTTAGTGCTTGAAATTGAAAGGGTTTTCTGAAATAGTTTAAAAGTGGTCACCTGACAGCTACTTCATATTATATGTTAATATCATATTGTCATTCTAAAAGAATTTTGCCTATACAAGGATACAAAGCAGAGCTTCTAATTATATGTGTTCACAGCTTATGGCTAGAGACTTAGTAATTTTACAGAAATGTTTTTGCACAGAGGGAACTCAATTTCGTGACTGAGTCTAAAGAGAACAATAGGAATTGTTTTAATTTTTTATAGAAAATGAAGTAAGCCAAGAACAGATTCTTTTTAACACTGATTGCCCATTAGGGGGTTTTGTGCTGTGACATTGTTCATTTCTGCTTTCTAATGCTTGAATACATGTCTTTTATAATTGGTTCCTTTTGTTTTGTGCTTCAGTAAATTACTCTATTTTTTGTGTGGGTTTTTTTTCTTTTCTTTTTTTCTCCTTAAAAGGAGGCTTTTTATATTGGGTCCTCATTCTCTTTCTTCTCTTGGCTTTTGGTAGCATATTGCTTCAGGTAATCAGGAAGAAGTGGAGCGATTACTAAGTCAAGGTGACAGTGATAAAGACACTGTACAGAAAATGTGTCATCCGCTCTGTTACTGTGACAAATGTGAGAAGCTAGTTTCTGGGTAAGCACTTTTCATCTCCACAAATACACAAAAAGCTATGTAAAAGTCTTCACCTAAGATTCACTTTAGAAAGTATGCTGCTTTTGGTTATAGAGGAAGTTGGTAACACTTCAGGATGTAGTAGAGAGTGTACGTTCGTGTGGTTTGAAAAAGCAGAAGAAATATTAGGAGAGTATTGAATGCCTTGGAACCAGCCAATTTTGTGATGGAGGCTGTATGTCCTTTGGTAAGTGTGGTGTGAAATGTTTCTTCTCTTGAACCTAACTTACATACCTTGCACAACCACATCTCTTAACAAAATGTACAACTTTGTATAGAATAATTTGTCTATGTGAAAGGATAAAGGATAAAAACTTCCAAAATCAGTTTTTGTTGGCCTTTGCAATTTTTCTCTTTCTCTCTTCCTTACCACTGCTGCATGGGTAACTGAGCTGCTTTTAAACCATTGTGTTTTAAAGGAAACTGAATGATCCTTCCATTATCACTCCATTTTCCCGAGATGACCGGGGATATACACCACTTCATATAGCTGCTATTTGTGGTGAGTATTGGTTTTCTTCACTAGTGTTTTCTACTCCTTATGTTCCTTATCTTTACATTAGCATGTTTTCCAGCTTTACATTAAAGAGTGAATTTTGCATTAAATTGTTTTCTGCTTATTTGCTATGGAACCTGGTATCTTGGCACAGACTGAAGTTATTGTGTATTCTTTTAAGCTCTGTTTCTCGTGGTTGAGTTATTGTTTGTTTGTTGGCTGTTTACTTTTGCCTTAGTGATTACCACAGTAGTTTTCTCTTCAGCTGTGAAAAAAGTAAAAATGTGTCCTCAGAAACCAGTCTTGTTTTAAAGAACTGGCAGATTGAGACGTTAATCTTTTCTCTCTCCTGCAGCTGGCTGTGCATGGTAGATCTGTACCGTCTCCTGTCTTGTAATGTTCATTATGCCATTGATCTTACATTCATTAGAAGATGTATTAATTTTCTTAGTGAGTTTTTTTAATAAATAATTTCCTTTTTTTACTATTATCTTGATCCCAATGGGAGAGTGCTTTGTGTGACAGGGCTTTATTTTCTCTTCTTCTCTTACTCATAAGATACAAGCATAGCTTGCTTTTATCTAGAGGTTCTTTTATGGAGCTTTGACGTTGAGTAATCTACAACAAAAAAAAAGAAATGGGAAGGAAGTGAATATACAGTATATAGAAACATGGTATGCAGAAATGCAGGGTATCTTAGTTTATAGTCCATGTTTGAATTTGAAAAGTAGCAATGTTCTTGTGCAAAGTTTACTTCTTTCTTTTAATGTTTGCATATTTTTCAAGGGCAAACATCACTAGTGGATTTACTAGTAGCCAAAGGAGCCATCGTCAATGCTACAGATTATCACGGTTCAACTCCACTTCATCTTGCCTGTCAGAAAGGATATCAAAATGTTACAGTAAGCACCAAAAGGCTTAATTAGAAATAAAAACAAATACTTAACCTAAATAATAAATATATGACTCTTACTAAGCTGTTCTACTGTTACTGTCATTTAGGTCTTCTGAGAAGCTTTTACCAGAACTGTGTATGCTGTCAGAATTGAGGGTCTTTTATCACTGTAGTTTGCATGATATTTTATTTTTTCCTATACTGCAAGGTTTTCACCCATTTGTAATAACCAAGCAATTGACAGCTATGCATGCCTGATAATTAATCCGTTTTATTAATACAAATCTCCAATACGTAGTACAAATAGAGAACCTGTTAACATCTCTGCTCTTGATTAAGACAGAAGAACCATTGCAGTCATTGGAATGAATTAAATGACTTCACATTGTGGTTGGGTAGACTGTGTAACTACATTAATTATTGTGTACTTGAATTTTATATACGTGAGATTCTTTAATTAGCATTGTTGAAATTAAGCTGTGTCTTCACTTACATAGGCTCTTAAAATACAGGATAAATTATCATGTAGTATATGTATTGCAATGTTTGCTGCAGTAGATGATTCATTTTTTCAATGACAATTCTGAATATGTAAGAAGCAGATTTTATTTGATTCTTAGGGTAGGGCAAAACCAGTATTGTAATGCCAAGAGAGTAGTGTCTGAAACGAGAGACGTAGCTAGTTTTTCATGAAGTGCTTCATCATGCTAGAAACCAAAAGGAATCTACAGAGTAACAATTGTTTGTCCATTAATTTTTTAGTTACTTAAATGCCTACTTTTATTTTTTCTTGTAAGCTTCTCTTATTGCACTATAAGGCAAGTACTGATGTTCAGGACAATAATGGAAATACTCCACTTCATTTAGCCTGCACTTATGGTCATGAGGATGTAAGTAATTGTTTTGTAACATACTAAATGGACCTTCTAATGGAATGGAATTAAACTGTGATGCAAATTTGCACTAAACTTACATGTTTTAAAGAGTAAATAAAAAAGATTTGGAGGCTAACTATTTAACGCTATAAATTAGGACTTTATTCAGTAGTTCATAGGAATTTTTATTATGTGTTCACATTAAAGATAGTAGTATTGTGCAAATTTAGTTGAATTATTTAACTCTTTGTTTAATGACACTGAACTGTAAAAGCCTGCCCTTTAAGCAATGGATTATATGAGCAGCAATGAAAAAAACCTTTTTAGGATTGGATATGTTATATGAATTGAGAGACAATACTATAGTTTATTGATAGCTTTCCTTTTCTTTCTAGTGCGTCAAAGCTTTAGTCTACTATGATGTGCATTCCTGTAGACTAGATATTGGTAATGAAAAGGGAGATACTCCTCTCCATATAGCTGCTCGTTGGGGCTATCAAGGGATCATAGAAGTGCTTTTGCAAAATGGGGCAAATCCAGAAATTCAAAACCGGATGAAGGAGACTTCCCTACAGTGTGCATTAAATTCCAAGGTATTCTTCTTTATCTTCTAGCCTGATTTCTTTCTGATGCAATTCCATGGAGATGTAGATGCTTACCTGCTAACAGGATTTTGTGGTCTGGTACTATCAAAATGAAAATGTATGTTTCCCTTTAAGGAAGAAAGGTCACATTTTAAATCTTATAGCATGAATGCAGTCTGTGGTATAGAACATAAACTTGTAAATGGGTACTTCTAATCTGCTCAGTCATAATCTCTTACTAATATTAGGTTGTTGGCTAATTTGTGTTTCAGTCAGTAGATTTTTCTTTAAGTGAAGTTACATTAGTTCTCTATTAATATTTTTATGCAGATTTTGTCATTGATGGAATTAAACTATCTAACGTTTGAGAGAGGACAGAGTGCTTCTGAGGTAACAACCAATGCAAGTTGCTAAACTTTTTTTGCCTATGTTTAACCTGCTTAATCTGATATGTAACTTTTTCTGGCTGTGTTGGTTTGTTTTTGTTTTTTTCCAACTTCAAGTCATCACTTAGGTCTCCTCAGCACTCAACAGAAACTTTCAGCAGAGGATCATCTATCTCAAGCCTGTCATCAGCATCAACTGATATAAGGCAAGAAGAAGTAAAAAATAGTTATAAAGAGGTAAGACTGAGGTATAAGTTTTGACAATAAGTAAAATGAAGGAATCTAGAAAGGTGATATTTTGCAACACTGTTTTAAACTGGTTCTTCAGGAATAGCCTTCTGTCTGTTTTGGAAAAATACATGCTGCTATCCTCAGGTGCTTGTCATCTCAGTATCTAAACACTTATTTTTGTATGGTATCAACTGCTCTGCTGGTTATTTCTTGGGAAAAATTGAAAACATATTTGGAGTAGTTGTTAGATTTCTGCAGTTAACTATGCAATTTGAGAACTTGTTCAGGTTTACAAAGTTATAATGGCAATCAGCGCCCCAAGGACCTTGCTGTCCTGTCCAGGAATTAAATGCCATTGTTGGCTTACAAAGTCTGTCAGGGAAAAGAGACTAATACAGGCATATTGACAAACAACTTAACAAACTAGAATGTTAAGACAAGCTTTCAAAATCGGCATAGGAAATCAATTTTGCAGCATGTGAAGAAGTACACACTATATACTGAATATCTTGCACATATGTCTCTGCTGATTTTGCTCTGTCCACACCAGCCAAAGTGCTGTCCTCTGAATTTTTTCATGTGGGACTTCAGATCCATACTTTCCATTTATCCCCTCCGAAGACTGTCATATCACCACTCCTTCTGATGCTTCTCTATTTTTTTCCCAGTCTTCCTCTTCCATTTTTTTTTCCAAATTGACCTCCTTAGTATTTTTGTCTCTCCATATCGCCTCTAATTTCAGATTCTTCCTTTTCCTGCTATTAAAAGGTTCTTCTCTTGCCAAAAGTTTGAAGTGTTCAAGAAATGCAAAGATGTAGTTTTGACTGGACAACATTACTTCACACTTCATTGTCAGTTACTCTATGAGAGCCTGAATATAGGAGTGTACCTCCCTGTTTGTACAGAGGCAAGCACTCTAAATAAGGTCTAATATACATAAAAGTTCACCTCATAGATCAAGGATTTGTTTTTCCTTAAAGGAACAAATTTATCACACCCAAGAGCTAAGACTAGTTCAAACCAGGGAAAAAGATTACAAGCAGCTTACATCTTAGATTCTTGGGGTTAATGACCTTCTCCTGTAATCCAGCTTTAGTTCATTTCTGTTTGCCCAGTTTCGCATGGGCTCACTGCTCTTATTCTTACTAAGCAAAGAGGCAAGGGCGTAATCCTGAGAGAGCTCCGTGAAGGCAATGCCACTGGAAGTAATGGGAAGCTGTTAAGGTCAGTTTTCCAGACTTCAAGGCTTAGACCATGAATTAAGCGGTTGCAGTTAACTCTTTATTAATCAATACTGCTAGTGAATTAAACTCTTTGCTTAAATGAGCCAGTCATGGTGTATGTCTCGTATGTGGCTTGTTTTCAACTTAGAAAAGAGAGAGTAAAAGAGCCAGCCATGTAAATTTGGAACTTCCTCTGTTCAAACTAATAACTCCTTGCACAGTTTCTGTTCAGCAACAGAAAAACTGAGCATGTGAGTGAATTGCAGTAGATTTGTTTCATCTATTTTTACATTTAAAGGAAGGTACTTCCATTCCATGGAGGAGTGAGAAAGCAAACTGGGAAGATGGGGAAATGCGTGTAGCAGACATTTTGCCCTAAGTACTCTTAATAAATTATCTATAAGCTGCATAACAGATGTTGTATGCTTCTCCACTGCTAGAGCCTGAGGCAGTTTTTAGAACTGTAAGGAAGTTGTTATTTTTGGAAAGAAATTATCAGAGCTTGTGGGTCACTTGCTATTACTGTTAGGCATCTTGTATGTGATAAGACTGGCTCCTGAAAATCATCAAGACCTTTACATTCTCCGGTGACATTATCCTATACGATTGGGGGAAATTATGGGAGGCACAGATTTCCCTAGTATATATAGTCCATTTTAGATGTGTATGTGTAGAGGTTGGGATTCGGCTCACCTAACTTCAGATGTCTGAAAGACAATTGTCTTACCTTTAGACATCTATTTTCCCTCCTTAGTCAGTGGAGAGAAATTGGTACCTCCAGAGAGGAATTAATCTCAGACATGCTTAGTTTGACCTGAGTTGCACTCGAGTGTCATTCGTTCACTGCATTCTGCTCTGTAGTTATGAGAGAGGGAGTTTAAATGTGACTGGCTTAGATTTAGACAGCTAACTTTTAGACATTCAAAGTTAGGAAAGAGGAATCCTGCCTTGAGTGCCTAGTGCATGACTTCAAGGAGCTTCACCTTGTATTAGAAAGGTAGTAATAAAATAAATCAAAACTTAGCAGCTTTCCTAAAAGGAGATAAAAATGGATGGAGAGGTTTAATCTAGCCTCTGATCTTTCAGCTGTAGATGTGTCCTGTTCTGCTAAAACCCTGAAGAAAGAGATCAGACCAGTAAAACACAACTTCCTTTTAGGCTCATTCTTCCTTGTTTGCTTTACCAAACACTGCTGTGAGTCAGCAAGATAGTAATTTCTAGATAAAGATTGAAATGTGACTGTAGCTGTTACTCCATGACATCTTCAACTTGGAAGATGTTTCTTAATAGTGAAACAACTTTGTTTACACAGCAGCATCTTTGGTGATTCTAGCACAGTGCTAGAATAATTTGCTATAATGCTGAAACGGACTTTCACAAAGCTTATTATCTTCAACAATCTGCAGAGGCTAGTCAAGTTGCCTATTGATAGTACTAATGGACTCTCCCTGCCCTTTTCTATCAGGTTAGGTCTCAACTCCATGTGAGAGTAGAGAATCAGAGGAGAAGCGGGGAGACAAGTACATCTCATTCTCCTGCTTTTACAAGCAATTGGAGGCATCAAGGGGATGGCATCAATGCACTGCAGAGCACCTTCCATCTCTTCTTCCCCCCGCTTGCCTCTTTCCCCCCTGCAGAGCTTATAAACAGGAGAATACCTACACCAAACAGTCATGCTCAGGCATCAGCTTGCCTGAGCATACACATACTTAACTGGTCTAATACTGGTCCCCTGGAATAACTCTCCGAGTTGGAGACCTGGCTTTTGCTAATGCATACCCTTCTTGGATTTTAAGTAAGAAAACAAATGTCATACTTACAATCAAGTTATATTTGTAAATGTTTGGTTTTTAACATAGGAATAAACCAGTAATCTGCAGATGTGAACAATTGGAAAGCATCTTTTTCATCTTAAACTGTTGTTCCTCAAATAGCAAAATAAAACCTGCCATCCTTTGTGCTTCTGGTAGCATATAGTAGCTCAGCAAGAGTCCAAACAGTACTAGTGTTTATCAGGGTAGAAATTTGTCTTGAGTAGGGATTTTTACTGTTAGGTTCACAATAGAAATGCATGGCCAGCTGCTGCTGAGCAGCATGATAAAGTATATCAGCTTACATGGCTGTGCTTATGTGTGGACTACATGTTCTCTATTTAGGTAAGTACTGTTTATCTTTAAGCAAGTCAGAGATCATCAAATGGCCACAGGCCTTGCACAGCTTTTGTATTTCATAAAGAAGAAGGTTTTTCCTTTAAAACTTTATCAATAAATATGAAATGGGCTAGCAGTAATCCTACCACATGAGCTTAGGAGGTTAACAAAGGACACAGGATTTTCTGTGTACAGCTTAATACCAATACTAACGAAGCAAATAAATTTGTTTTCTTAATACATAGGTGGAAAAACTCCTAAGAGCAGTTGCTGATGGAGATCTGGAAATGGTGAGTCTTTGCATGGCTGTTGAATATTATTGAATTCCAATTTACCTCATTCAAATTGAGGAAGTTATTTGTAAATAATATCAAGTGAGGAATGCTTTGGGTAATATCTTCCTTCAGCAACAACTAATCAAATTCAGCTCATTTTCTGCAAAGAATATTCACTCCACGTCCCCAAATTATTTTACCTACAGTGCTTTAAAGCCCATTATTTTGACATTTCCATGACCTCTTGCACTAAAGAAATTACTTTAGATTGAATAATTCCTTTGTGAAGGCCTGTCATTTAAAAACATATGCATAGTCACCTCTAGGAGATGCAAAGAACTTGGGAAGAACAATATTCAGGGCAGGCATGTTGAAAAGAAATATTGCAGGAAAGAGCAACTCATTTGTTTGCAGGTGCTCGAGCTGCACTGTCAAATGCTGTTCTTAAATGGGGGCACGATGCACTGAAGAACTGTAAAAAGATACTTATACTGATGTCACAATATTGGACTGGATATGCAGTCAGCACAAAACAAAAAAAGCAAAATAGATGAGTTTTCAGGTAAACCTGATTTTTGACAGCAAATCCAATAGAAAGTGTTATTATTCCCAGTTGCTTGTGCCTACATCACAGAAGTGCATCATATCTTTTCTCGTATGTAAGTTGATGCATGTGCTGGAGCAGCAATGGTGTGCACCAGTTCTGGAAATTGAACGGTGGGATTAACAGTTTGCAGTTTTTTGACTTAAGAAGCATTCCAGTAATACAGTGTGTTTAAATCCACAACTTCCTAAATTGTCAGGTTCTCTAATGCTTTGAATATTGTCTACTCTTTATGTATGTTTACTGCATGTAATAATTGTGCATAGGTACTATAAATGAAAAATGAGCTCTTATTTTGTTTGTTGTGATACCTTTTTATTAATATTTCATACAGAGAGGAAATTTAGGTGACACCAGTCAGTACAGAGAATTTAGCTCAGGGGCATACAACTTTCCTGTAGTTTGGATTTCACTTCAAATGGATAGCTGATGGCTGTAATAATACGTTTCAGAGTTGATGTTCTGTAAATTGTGATACTTACCACCTGTTTTGACATAGTTTTTAGTTACTATTGCCCTTTATTCCTGAAAATTTGAACAATAAGGTACTTCCAATGTTATTCTACTGAAAAATTGAAGATGACACAGAAATCTTCAGAAGTTTTGTCTTTGGAAAGATGTATAAGGCTGTACATTTCTGAATTATTTTGTAGTTCACAGAACAAAATCATGAACCCATGTGAGAATGCAGGGTTTCTCTGCTGGATGCATGTTCTGAAAAATCTGTTTAGGTCATATGTCCCAGGAGTTACAGATGCTAATGAAGCATCACACAGTCATAATAAAATAGATAATCTGCATCATAAAATACATACCATGTTAATATTGATTCTGTCATGTTTTATTCCAGTTAGATGATAGAAGCAAATTAATTTATCAACTGATAAAGGAAAGAACTGTTCAGTTGTTAAGTAAATATCATTATCCTAGTTTACAATGTAACTTCATCTTAGTAATTATTTCCAGGTCAGCCCTTAAGTCATTTCAAGAAGCAGCAATGCATACAATGGTGATATTTACCATCTTCCTGGCAAGTAGTAAACATGAATGTATTGCAATTAAATTTTCACAGACTTTGTGAAAATCTAAACTGCATCATGAAAAAAATTTAAAGATAATTAAATATAGTGCTATAATTTGCTGGAATATTAGTATCTAGCACTGCTCAACAGATGTCAGCAATGAAAAGCATATAGAAACCTAATCTGCGCATTCATATGACAGAATCGCCTTATTTTTTGTGGCTTTACTTTCCACATCACTCAAGTTCATGTAAAACTGTTCATTATAAACAGAATTGTCCAATTGGATGGCAAAGGTTACGTTTGTGTATCTATTAAAAAAACATAGTTATTTAAAAACTCTTATCTTGTTCTGACAGACTGAGGTCTGTCTCCATAGGAACAGAAGCAGCAGTGGGGTCATTAGTGCTGTTGTAGATTTCCGCTGTGACAGCCAATTGAGCTTTGCAATAGAAGGCATTAAAAACAATGCTATGAAACTGGAAGATCTAAAAAAATAAAATAGTATTACGCTGTGATTGTTCAGGAAGCCAGAAAACAACCTTTGTCGCCATCAAAGCATCTGCAAACTTCAAAAGCAAGTATGCTTTAGATTGGAGATAATGATGTTAATCAATGACAGTTACTTTAATTAGCTGACTCAATGGCAACTAATTCCACATTTTGAAAAAAATTTAGCCCACTTTGGTAAATTTTCTGTGTCTGTAGTGAGAAAGAGATATTTTGAGACAGTATGGAGGGTATATCTGTATAGAAAGGATTAAGCTTTATTCCCAAAACACGTTTTAGAGTTACACAGCAGCATTTTTTGGAGGAGGTTCTCAAACTGTACTTTTTATGTGTTTGTTGTTTGCTGAATTGGTAGAAAATTATTATAGCTCTGTTATTGTTGGAGACTGTTAACGATTGTCTTAGCCCATTGTATATTGCTTAGAGCCATATAAAGGCTTTGTTCAAAGTCACTAAAGTATGGCATAGAAGTAGTCGATACTGCTTAACATCAGTTTTTGGTCTTTCATTCTTTGTGATTGAATTTGGTGGTCAGGTGTACGCCATAGCTCCTTAGTGGTGGATGAACCATTCAGCTTTCAACAAAGATACTTAGATTTAAAAAACAAGCAAATAAAAAAAAACCCTTTTATTATTGGAGTGGGATAGCACTAAAACAGACCTGGGATGTTACAGAACCTCTTCTGTTAAAAATATTTGAGAAGAGATTGGTCAAATGTCTGTCAATGGTATTAAGGAAGAATTGACTTTGTCTCAGTGTAGAATACTGGATTAAGCACTCTTCTGAAGTTCCTTTCACCTGCCTAGTCTTGACTCTTCTGGTGGAATGGATATGTGTAAATCCACCACAAAAAAAAGCAAATCTCTTGTATGAAATAAATCTTGTGGAGCAGCTAAAAGTCTGGCATACAGCGTACAGTGCCCCTGGTGTGCTCTGCTAAATATTCCGGGACGTGTGTTACTCTGCAATGTAAAGAAGGTTTTAGATGACAAGTTAACTGGCAAAGGGAGATCATGGACAATTTCCTGAGATGCTTCAGTGTGTGTCTGCTTAAAAGTACATTTAACCTTTTGACCAAAAAACCTTTAAACCAAAAAACCCAAGGCTATTCCACTGTAATTATAAAGAGGTATGCATGGGAGTAGCATGTTCAGATTTTTGGTGAGTCATTGGTATTGGTATGTTGTGAGCTGCCTATTTGGATAATGAGAGCAGCACTATTGAGTTGTGATAGAAGAAGGAGAAAGTGTCAGTTGTGAGTGTCTTGATCAGTCTGCAGGGAAACAGGAAAGTGAAGGGACAGTAATATTTATTTTAGACATGTACAAATACAGCAAATAGTAAACCTTCACTGATCAGACCTTCTGTAAACAGACAAACTTGAGAGAAGATTTCTTTTTACTCCAGAGCGCAACGTGGAATTTGCAGGGAAAGTAATATTCCCTGTGAAAAACATCCCTCTGCTGTCTCAATTATGTTATCATTCAGAATCAGGTACATGGCCTTTACTAGTTGTCCTAGGATTTATTCTAGCTGCATCTGTTTAATTGGATAAATTATTAATGTGTGTTTGGTTTCCTAGCGCTACCTTAATGGTAAGAAGCAGAACTTCCTGACAAGTGTAGAGTAAACACAGTGAGAGGAACCTGTAGGAAATTCCTTTCTCCCCATTCTCTTCTCAACTAATATCTGTAGAGCTGTTGGAGTGATCCAGTTCTGTGGCATCAAACCCAACCCAAATCCAGCAAAGATGCTTCTATCTCAGTTTCAGCAGAAAGTGGTTGCTCAATTTTGCTCCATGCCACTGTTCAGTGGGAGGCAAAGGGCTAATCTTTCTTCACAGTAACAAGACAATCTTTTGACAGCTCCCTTAAAAGCTGCTAAAAAAAAAAAGTGTAAAAGGAAACCCCTTCACAAGATGACACGTATTACAGCTTCATACCCACTACGTAATCCTGTAACTTGTTGTGTGTGGGAATGTCCCAGAAGATCTGCTGGAGCTCTGAGAGATCTAGCCTCCACACACAAGCGTCCTGATCTTCCTTCTGTCTTGGTTTTTGAGTGCCGTGATGTTAGCCCTTTTAATGCACCTAGAAAAAGGTGACTATTAATGTATTGTCCCTTGCATTATGCGACCAATTTAATTCCCAGTTCTGTCTTGAGTTTCTGAAAGACTTGTCTCATTGAGCATAATACAAACTCAGAATGGTACACCAGATAGATGTCAGGCTTAACATTGCCAGATGGTGTAATAATGGAGACTTAGTACAGTCACTGTGAATTCTAAGATGTCTTTAGTTTACAGTGGGTTAATGAATTTCAAGATAAAAATATATTTCTTAAACAGCTTTTTTTTTTGTTGCATAAAATTTAATGTAAAATTAACATGCAGTAAGCATCACTGTTTGCAAATCGCATGTGAATGCTCTGAGTCTTAAGACTATCTTCATTGAAGGGCTTCTCTCTTCCTCAAAAATGAGGCATTGTACGTTGAGGAAAAAGTGAAATTGTCAAGCTCCTGCGAAGTGACAGACCTAAGAAAAGTCAGTGTCCCTGCAAAGTTTTGGGCATCAGTTAAGTGTCGTCATCCTTGTCACTTCTTATGTTTGTTAAAGCAAAAGATGAAACAAAATTCGTATTGACGTGAGCTGGCACAAATCATCTGAGCTAAAGGGATTTGGAGGGTTTGAGACTAGGTGAATGCTGAAGTCTTGATTAGGCAGCAGGAAGTCATTTGTAATTTACTTCACTGCTATATTTGGTGAACTTTCTAGCTCCTTTGTCAACAATAACATTTGATTTTTTTAATTTGGCCTGTGGGCAGCTGATGCTAGGAGGTAGCTGTATAGTCTCCCTGAGATATTCGCAAGTGTATGTTTGTGAAATTTATGCATATTTATTGGGACATGAAACCTTTAGACTCTGTAAAGGAAGACTTGCTTTTTATGCCAGGTACGTTATCTCTTGGAATGGATGGAAGAAGACTTAGAAGATGAGGATGACACAGCCAGTACATCAAAACCAGAATTCTGCCATCCATTATGCCAGTGCCCAAAATGTGGGCCAGCACAAAAGGTTGGAATATTCATTCTGTGAAAAGAATAAATTATATTCTTTTAATGTAACTTTTAGCTCTAGGGAAGTAGCATTCATATTGTCCAGCACCTCTGTATCTCTGTCTAAAAAGCAATTAAATATGTACAGATCTTAACAGAGTTCATCTGATGTAGTGAAATTGCTCTCTTTTTAATTGAACTGTAGAAAATTTTGGATACAGTAGCAATGTTCAAAGACTTGCTCAATATCTAATGGAGATGAGAAACTTTGCAGTATGTTTTTAGAATATGTGGACTGCTGTCATTAAGGTTTGGACAACTTGGAATAAATGGGAAAAATCTTTTTCTAAGCCTCAGTTTCTCCTGGTTCTCTTTTATAGTTTACATTGCTAACTGTCACAGAGTATCTACTTATCTGTTAGTAATCAGTTTAGCAAGGAATACCTGTTAATCCTATAATCCTATAATGTAATGCTGATAAAGTCTTTTTTTAATTGCATGACATCTTTCATACAAGCTATATCTAAAACCTCTTCAGAGATTAAATACAGTTGCAAAGATTTCCTTTCCCCATATTTATCATGGACTGTAGAGGAAAATCAGGCTTTATAATACTTTTTTTTTTTTTTTAATTTAAATAAGGAATGATCCTAGCTTCTTGGAAATAGAAAACCAATTACTTTCAGGAAGAAAATGTGTTGCTATGTCTGAAAGTATACATAACTGGATAAGTCATTGCAGAATAAACCAAAGTATAAATTTTCAGTGTATTGACTACTTTGAGGTAACAGTATCCATATCACTTAACTGAGAAAATGTGAGATGGCTTAACTTCTAAATTCCTCACTGCTACCTTATGTTTGTTTTGTGCAGGCTATAAAAGTATACTAGTTGTCTTTAAATGCTTCACATTCATACCGTGCTTTATTGTTTGGTAACGTGTCCATGTACCCTCAGGACAGAGATCATGTGCTAAAGATGCCAGAGCCTGAGATCATAAAAGTTCATTTTACTGGCAACAGGGGAAGGAGTGGCATTTGCTGTGGAATTCACTTGCCTACTGATTGAAAAGTAGAGAGAACTTGTTAACTAATCTTAACCACTGTGTTGGGTAGGCACACATTTAAAAGCACACTGAGGATAGGCAGAATGAAAGATTGTCTAGCACTGTAAATGCCCTACACAGTTTGCGAGAGGAGTAAAAAAGGATGTTCTGTACTAGTGTGTAAGTTGTCTTCCAGGTAGTTTCCTTATCTTGACTCCCCGTGGAAGTCTGTTTTCTGGGCCAGTGCTACTTCCACATGAATTAAATTAGTTTTAGATTTTATCCTTATTACCTCGAGCTTCGCGTAGCAGTAAAATAGGTGTGTAGTGTCTGTCTCAAAGAGCGTAAATGTCTGTATAAATGAAAGTAACTCATAATATTAACACTTACTCTCTATGTATGAGCATCCTAACAGCTATATAAAAACTGTAAGTTTTACTTCCGTCTCAACCTGTGCTGCTTTAATATCATGTGCTTTCTTAATATCATGAATACTTTGCCTGGAATTTCTCTATATGAAGCTATCATGTTGGAAGAAAAGAGAGAAAAATAAAACTCATTGTTCTGTTGAAAAATACTACCAAGCTGCTCTGGTTTACTAACTCTCTTCCTGAAGGTCTCAAATTAGGCTCTGGAGCAGAAATTTTTGTAACGTCCATCTACCTGTTTTGTATATACTTAGAAGGTATTTGGCTGCTTTTTGGTCAACAGAAAGTAGCATGATTAATTATATTGTTTTGTTGTGTATTTTCCTCAACAGAAATTTGCAAGGATCTCTGCTAATGGACTTGGAGTAAATGTTTCAAACCAAGATGGTTTTACACCATTGCATATGGCTGCACTGCATGGACACTCTGAACTTGTCTGTCTCTTGTTGAAACATGGGGCCAGTATCAGTGCCAAGAATGCAAAACATGCAGTTCCTCTTCATCTAGCCTGCCAGAAAGGTCACTTCCAGGTAACCGAGCCTTTTTATAAATGCAAGGTATTTAACACTTAACCACCAACAAAAAGCTGTTTTGTGAAATTACCAATAAATTATCAACAAGACTAAACCAGTAACAGTGAAAATTAGTTTGGTGATTCTTTTTTTTCTGTCAATGTCTAAAATATCCAGATGGAAAGGGGATCTTTCAACTGAAACAGTTTCAGTAGGCACCTTTTCTTTCTAAGTGACCTGAAATAATGGTTTAATGAAAGTGCTGCAAATAGCTACTGTCATATATCAAATGCTTTAAAAATACCTTGTGCAGCTGAATCTTCCTATGTATTTTCTCCCTGTACCTTCTGTTCAAGGAGGTTATGTGTAGGTCTGTTGATGCAATGGACTTAGTATCTTCAAAAGCCACAGTATTAAATATTTATTGTATCTTCAACTCATTTAAGTAGATTGTGAGCCAAGTGGAGCTCTGAGGGTAGCAGATAACCTCATCCCTGACTTCAAGTCAGGGAAGCATAAGCAGTGAAGGAGAAGCATGAGCTAGTAAGGGGAGGATATTCATACAGGAGGGAGAGTAAATGAGAGGGGGGAAAAATAATGATCATGAAAAAGCAGGTGCAGACAGGCAAATGGGAATATGCAGAAAAGTGGAAAACCAGGGGTTTAAGAATAAGGAGCTGAGGACTGCAAAAGGAAAAAGAAAATTGAGAGAATTGTGAAGGTGATGGGGAGACAAAGCACTAGGGATGCAAGAAGAAAACAAAAATACAACTCAAACTTGTAGGTTAATGAAGCTTAGTTCATGAGGTATTTACAACATAAAGAACTCCTTCCAAGTATTCTGATGAGTTCAGAAAGGGCGAAAGGATACTGTTGCTGTGGTGGTTTGCTTTTGGTGTTTTGTTTAGTTATTGATTATGTATGTTTTTCACATACCTCAAGTTTTATTTTCTGGCCTTTCTTTCAGTTGCTTAAGCTTTTTTTTTTTTTTTTTAAAAGCATGTGGTAAAAGATGAAAATTAGTATGATAGGAGGAGATGCTTGTTGTTACCATCTGGCAAAGATGAGACTTGTTTTCTCCATCTTTTTTACTTTCTTCTCTTTTTCATTCCAGATTTCAAAAAAATGTTCAAAAAAAAAAAAGGAAGGAGGCTTTCACTGCATGATTGATTAGCTGGTACCTTAAATTAAAAAGTTGTTACTTCTTTCAATAGGTGGTAAAGTGTCTGATGGATTACAATGCTAAACAAAATAAAAAGGATATATATGGAAATACTCCTTTAATTTATGCATGCTTGAATGGTCAGTATGAGACTACTGCCTTGTTGTTACAGGTAAGATCACTGAAAACAGCATGTTCAGAATAGTATTTCTTACGTGATATCTGTGCTTATCCACTATTCAGAATCGGTATTTTTGGTTACACATTTCTCTGTCAAAACTTCTCAGGGAAAAAATAAGAGTATTTGTTATCTCACTCCTTTCAATTCCTTCCCGTCATGGTTTTTTATTAGATAAATATTACTTTCCTATTATACAGCTAGCTGTTTTATGGAACTTTTTTGTGGCAGGTGTTAGGTTTTCTTGCTTATGATTCTATCGCATAAGGGTTTTTGTGTTTTTTGTGATTTCTTCTTCTTTTTAATATATTTTGAACTTGGAATATGTAGTAGATAAATGAAAAAAATGCAATTAGCTGATCCATGAAATTATGGCTATGAGAGAGGAGGAAATAATATGATCAGGTGGCTTATTGTTGAACTGGTGATTGCTAGCATATGCTTTCTGCATTCATATACAGCTACAAGGGTTCTGTGGCATTGTTCTCACTCATACATTGAAAAGGAGAGAAAACCAGAATAGTAATGTGCTATCTCCATTTCATGCTACTCTGTCTTTATAACTTCAATTTTATCTTGCTGTCCAGCATGGAGCTTCTGTTAACATTTCTAATGCCAAAGGAAATACAGCACTGCACGAGGCCGTGATAGGAAAGAATGAAGCCCTGGTAGACTTGCTACTACAGAATGGTGCAATGACGCACATAAGGAATGAAAGGAACTGTACCCCTGCAGACTGTGCTGAGCCGGTGAGTGCAGAAAGCTCATTTCTGACGTTAGATTTTCCTAAAGTTCCATATGGATAAAGCAGGAAAGAAAACAAATATAACTATTTGTCACAACAATATTTGCCAAGACTTCTGTATTTAACAATTATGTGTGCTGTAAAGACTAAGATGCCTGTTTATTGTACACATACAATATGATACCTGTGGCATATGAAACCTGTTGTGTTTCTAAAATAAATTATCCTAGACAAAAATGATCAGTTTAGAAAGAGTGAAAGCACATACGTGAATGAAAATGACATAAAAATCTATGCTAGTAATGGCAGGGAGAGCAGAAGAAATGTTGAATGTAGGAAAAGGAACACCTTTCACTGATGTTATACTGCTGGCAATCTTCCTCGTTCCACCCACTGTCTTTTGCCCTTCGTGCCTTTTGATACCTTTTATCTTGTCATAGATAACTCTGACCTTCCCTTTTATTCATAGCAATAACATAATATGTAATATTAAATTATAAAGAATTATTTCACTCTTTAAATGATTTGATGCATGGTCCCTACCTTTATGTGCTTAAGGAGCCTCTGAGATGTAGCATAATGATCACAAAATTCTGTACTGAATCAATTTTAGTATGTGTATTACCATTTAAACTGAAATTAGCTTAACCATAAATAATACAGTTTAAAATAGTAGGACAAGACTATAAAATCATCATGCCGGTACAGTGCAACTTGTGGAACACCGATTTTCTCCCTACTCAAAATGATACAATTTGAAGTTAGTATTTATAATGAGGTGTTTTTGTGTGCGTTACATTCATTTTGGCAGCAATTATCACACTCTGCATAGACTAGAATCCTGAAGTGCACTGACGTTTTTCTTTTTCTTTAATAATGGTGAAAATGGAAACTTTTAAAATTAAGAATTCAAATATCATTAAGTTGCTGGAAACAGCACCAAGCTGTGTAGCTACATCAGCAGAGAGAGAAAAGGAGTCTGAGCAGCATGCTACTATCAAGTTAAGAAAAAAAGGTATGTGTCATATTTCCACTGGTATGAATAAAAAGGGATTTAGGAATTCATGTGCAACTACATCAAATACTTTCTATAAATGACTTACAATTAAAGAACAGTCAACTATTTTGCATATTTATTACAGGTAACACCAAAAATACTATAACTAAATGCAGCAGACTTTGTATTATATTGGTGACATCGCTGCAAACTCAGTTTTCACTTTTTTGGGATGTGTGTGGGAATTTTACATGCAAAAGCATTTGAAGTTAAAAAATGTGCCACATTTGAGATGATATAATTAACCATGTAGTAATTGTCCATTTCAATGCAAAGTAAAACAGATCAATTTAAATCACCTCTAGTTGTCATTTATATTGCCCTAAACCAGCATAGGGAGTGACTCTTCCATTAGTTACTGTCTCTCATATTATGGGACAGAAATAAGAGCTACAAAGGTTTGCAAAAGAATGACTTTGAGTAAATGGCAGCATATAGTACAGTCTAAGCAAATATGTTGAGACACATGGAACAGTTTGACAATACAGCTGAGCTGATATAATGGCTTATTGACATTTAAAAGAGATAGTATTGCTCACCATCCACCCTCCCCTCTTCCCCCTCGCCCTCAGCTTCTGGTCTTGCTTATCCACTACTTTCCTTATGCTGGCTCAGAAGTTTTTCAGATGAATTTTCAAGCTGATACAGTTCACTAACCTGGGGAAAGGGGTGTAACAAGTAAAAAAAAGGGTGTAACCTGGAGCAAGGGGTCTAACAATGTAAAAATTGGAATTAAGGGCCTCAAAGTCCAGAATTACCTGGTCTCTTCAGAAGCTTGGCCAGTCGTGCTAATCTGATGAAGAACGCTTACTCCCATGACTTAAAATGCTTTAAAATTTCCAAAGATAAACTGTGACTCTGATTCAAGTTATTACTATTATAGTTTTACTGTAAAATTTTAAATCTGTCAGTAGATACCACTTTTCATTCATAACTGTGTTTTTTTAATTCTTAAGTGTGACTCAGTTGTAATTTTAGCTGTCTGTTCTTTTAAACTCCTAGTGAATTCTAAGCCATGTGAGAAAGCCGATGATCCCATAAGCAGACAACTTCAGCTGGTCCAATCAATTAACAGATTTAACAAGTAAGCATAGAAGCTTCCTCAGAAGACCGTTTATTGTTTTCCCATAAGCGAATAAGAAATGCAACTGTTAATGAAGCCCCAAAGTGGGTCAAAGCATTGTTATGCATCACATGTGACTAATCTGACAGTAGATGTTAATCCTCAGAGGCATGCACATTCGAATCACCAGACAGATGTTCTAGGTATGACATAGTCTTTGGTGGTGAACAGCAGTGATGTGCTGTGCAGCAGGAGGGAAAAGCTGGCCAGTGAAGGAGTGCTTGCAAATGTATATATAATTGTTTTTGCACTAATACTTGGTGTACCATAAATTAAGAATTTCAGAGCCAGACTGCTTTCAAAAAAATCATCTTAGTGCTTCACTCAATGGTTGGGTTTTGCCTATGATCTTTTTAAATGTTAACGTATATTCTGTGATAAAATACAGGAAATACTAGCCGGGTGTCATTTTGAGGTGGTGTTGTCAGACAGTAGCCTTTCTTTGTTGAGATAGTGCCACCGTGTGGATTTTCTGTGATTGAGGGACTTTTGTGGAAAGACTTATGTAGTTAAAAATTTCTTTAAAATGTTTTTTAGAGCAAAACATTTACGGAGAACAATAACAAGAGATAAAAGTGTCCCTAATTTTGACTATCAGTTATTGCATCAGGTAAGTGGAAGTACTTGCTTGAATTATTTGTATAATACAGCAAATGTGTTTGTTTTGTCTGCTATTAATACAGATACATGTAACAGGGAAGTTTCTTCACTAGTGGTGGTTGGTGAATCCCAAAAGTTCTGACCCGTTTGCTAACTCGCTGATGTTCCATTGTTCAAACTTCAGTGGTGCTTCTATAACACCTCTTAAACATCTTATTCTTATTTTTAAACCTCTTAAAGCCTTTTACTGCAGGCTTCATCTGTGTCTTGTTTTCTGTGTCATGTCTAACAAAATCTAGGCTATAGCAAGGCTTGAAAAACTCTACAGCTTGTAAGAGCTGTAGCCAAGCAGAGATGCTATTTACAAGAGAGAAATTTTTCAGTAGGTTAAAATTAGGGTTTGCATTATAAGTCTGCTTGGAGGAGGAGGTTGTTTGCAAGGGTTGATAGCAAACTGCATGTTGCATTGCCAGCTGTGACACAAATACATGTAATCAATTCATCTGTGGTTGGGGGTACCATGGCACCCTACGCCAATCTGACTATTGGTTGCTGCCCTCCACCCAGAGCATGTGCTCCCTCTTCCTCCTTTACACTGGCTTTGACTCTCATTGGACCTTCTGCTGAGCCATCTCAGCATACTAAATCAAGAGAAAAACTACCCCATTCAAAAGAAAACAGTTTTCTACCAGGTTAGTTCAGTAGCTGCCCGTTACTAGATTGACATAGCCTTAGAAATGCAGACTCTGATGCTCACCTCCATCTAGAAAATGGAATACCGTTCTATTTCGTAGAGCGCTTATGAGATTTAACGTGCAAAGAGCCTTGCAAATGCCAAATTAATGCTATAAAACTAATGTTTTATTAATTCTTTCTAGAATTAATGATAATATCCCACTATTTAATTAAACGTGGGATTTAGATTTTATAATTGTGGATCACTGAAGGCAGTATGTCATGTAAGTACAGCAAGTGTCAAAAAACTAATATGTGACCACGATACATAGCACTTAAGTCACGTGCGATTGTCGTAGCTTTGTGAATTTACATGTCATACAGCTCTAAATTGTTAGTAGGTTTAAACATGTATAATCTCCATCTGAAACTTTTTCAAGACTGTTGCTGTTATTTCAGTAAAAGGGTATCGTAATTTATTTCTGCCTTTAGTTCTTATCCTAGAAAACCTGTCATTAGCATGCTTGGATTCTCTTTTTTCTCTTAGTTATTTTAACATTTGCCAGGTGGCCAGTAGTCAAGGAGAGCCACCTGCTCTGAAAAGGAAACATCAGCAGCAGATGTGGAAATGGAAGATAAAAATAGCTGGAATGACCAGAAAGAGTCTTTAAGGGGAGTGGGGAGAGTGGGTGCCTCTGTCTCTGACAGTTAAGACCTGGAAGCTGGGAGTTTTTACCTTTGCATTCAGCAGTGCCAGGTTGAGACTGTCTGTATTACTACTTACACAGTTCTTAATGGTAAAAGAAATGGCTGTTGATTTTAAGTACCTTGAGACTTGCATTACAAAAGGTATTTAAAAGAGTTAGGATGATATTGGGATAGTGCAGTGAAAATAAGTTTTGCAATGCCTTCATTATCTTTTCAGTTCCGGTACTGATATATGTGTAGCCTGGGGCAGGTTGGGCTCTTGTTTTCTTCCATGGAGACTGAATGCAATTACTGTCCTACAAAGTATGCTATTTTTAATCCTTGGCTGTGTTCTCAGTATAAAGAATACCATGAAATTAATGTGATAATTATATTCAAGAAACACTATATTCATTTGACTTTTTTGTAATGAAAAAGGTAGACAATGCTTTTAACATACCATTTTTCTATCCTCACAGTTAGCTATTAAAAGCTTTGATAAAACCAAGTTAAAATCTGTTGAAAAGCTGGACCGGAGCAAAGTTAAGATTATTGACACAGGATGCAGTGGCGAGTTTGTGAAACATGATGACATGATAGAAGTCCCTCACAGGAGTAAATTAATGCACCGAAGACACACTGTTAATGTGCCACTTTCAGCAGAGAATGTCAGCGATAATAGTTTATCCAGCCCTAGAAATCCAAGTATTTCACAATCAAGAGACTGCTGTGATGACGCGCTTTCAAAACATTGACAAGAAAGTGTGAATTTGATGTCAAAAGCTGAGGAATTAGGTGGTGTTAATTTCAGTAACCTTTCACTGTATATCAAAGAATTCAGTGACGCTTGCAAGCCTGCCTGCAGAACAGAATACAAGGATGACTCTTCAGCAGAAACAGAATGTTCCTAGCACTTTCAAAGACTGAATCCTCTGTTGATGTTGGAGGTAACTACACAGCCAGATCGTTACTGATCTCGACATGTTAACAGGGACGTACTGAGATGTAGACAGCAAAATTACTTTCCTATCCTACTTAGCACTTATTAAAAAAATTATATGTAACAGTAAACCAAACAAAACCCTCTATTGTATTTTTTCAGCCACCCACCTTGTTTTTAAAACTCTTTGAATAATTTTTGCATTTTCAGTTTTTATCACTACATTGGATAAGTATATGTAAATATATATATATTTATATACATATAAAGATATATTGGATAACAAGGTATTTATTGCCAGAGGTAACCGAAATATCTCTATTTTTATTGTAATGTTATGAACCATTATAGTATATATTTCTGTATATTTCAGTAGCTGGGAAAACAATAGTCTGTAACATCTGTGATGCCACATTAGGAGATTTATACATGCTATTAATGTGAAGGGATGTAATCCTTGCTAATTTCTTTGCAATGCTTCCCTGTATTGGATCTGCAAGATCAAGTTCTTACACAGGAGCCAAGGTACTGGGGAAGAAGTAGAGAGCTCTTGACAAAGCTAAACTTTGGACTCACTTTTCACAGCCTAATCAAAAAAAAAAAAAAGCAGAAGCAAGCCTGTATAAGGACACATAAAATTGCTTTGTGGGTTTTTTTTCCCCCCTCTAAAGTAAGTCATGCAAAAGTGCACAAATATTCATGATTCTGAACCAGGGCAACATCTGCAAACAATTAGGAACCTCCTCTGGACTGCTCTTTAAAAAGGTGAAATTCCAATTATGAAAAGTACTTCTCACATCAGTAAGCTTTTGTTGGAATAGGCCAAATATTACCTCATTCCTAGAGGTGATCACTGAAGAATTGAAAGCTTGCAAGTAACTATAAGATGGCTGCTTAGATTTGAACTTCATTTTCAGTTATGGTAGGAGAATGTGTAGATAGGACAAGCCAGGTTTCTAAGTGCAGTATTTTTTATTCTTGGCTCATCACATCCAGCTTGCATTTTATTTCATAAACTATTTGTATGAATAATTGTTTCTTTTAACTGTGGTGTTAGTAAACTGTCTGGCAAAGTACAACGCTGGAAGACGTACTGATTATTTTTTCAAATAACTTTTTAATCTAAGAGGTAAAATGTGCAATAAGTGCACATATGGACATTTGGAGATGAGGGTCATGTGTTTATTTTTCTAATAATTTATGAGTTCATCTGATTTTCTAATGTGCCTTGGATTTGTGCCAAATGATGGAAAGAAAAAACTAGTAAAATAACTCTTGAAAATGCTGTTTTGAGTGGTTTTTTCGAAGCATTGAGTCTTTTATGCAGATTTCCTTGCTTTTGTTTTTGTAGGCATTTGAAGACTTCACCTTGTGTCTCTGTGTAACCTGAGGGATCTGTTGGAATTTACTCTGAAGTTCAGTATGACCTTCTTTCCTCCTACATTCGTGGATTACTATTGTTAGGTTGTGTGGTTTTGGATTTAAGGCATAGAGGTGTACAATACAGAACTGTTAGTGAAAGCAAACGTTTTCATGTAACTTCTTCTCTAGTTCTACATTCCCATTTAAAAAAAAAAAAGTAGGATGGATGTTAAGCTATTAGGAGCCAAAGACCAAGAGGAGAGACATATGAACTAGTTTTTTTTCCTTCTTGTGACACTATGAGGATGACCTAGAGTAAGTAAGTCACTTATCCTTACCTGTAGCAAAAATAACCTAGATATTACTTATAAAGCTTAAGATACAAGTAAACTTTCATAGATCTGATTTCCAAACTACATAGTGAGAATTTTGCTTGTGTTTTAATTATACTATGCATTTAACTAAATGATTCTTGTCTTAAGACTTCTTGACAATATAGATGAGAAAAATCAGTTTATTAGCTTTTTAATACTGGTGATACTATGCTACAGAATGTAAGTACAGAATATACTGCTGTAACTACAGAACATGAATTAGCACAATGACACTATGTTCAGTATCAAGTCTTTTTTCTTAATCCTTAATAATAAGCACAGTGTGGTTGAATAGCTTTGGAAACAAGTTTTAAGATAGCTTATTAAATAATTTTGAAAATGGTTAGAGATAAGCATCAGAGGATGTGAACTCCTTTAGATACTTGCTTCTTTTCTATTAAAGACAGATTTTGAATACAACAGGTTATGGAAAACAACTTGTTCAACACTATTTTCTATGCAAGCAGTGACCCAGCTGCAACACTCCCAGGTTTCAGCCTTGATATGAATTGTTATATAATTATTGGTCCATTTTACTCAAAGAATTAGCCAAGTGTTAAAGTAGCGCTTGCCTTTGGAACAACTTCTCTCCCTGCAATGAAATATAAAATTTGCAAGGAAAAAAAACATAGTAGCTTACTAAGGCAACTTGGTGCATATTGCCTACTGTATTTTTTAACAAAATCTGTATTTTAAGACATCTAACAGGAGAATATTTTTTTTCTTTAGAGTTTTATAGAAAAAGTATACATTTACTAGAATTCACCTGAGTTTTCTATTCTATTACAGTATCAGAACAGTTGTCCTTGTGAACCTGAGGCTACTTAAGTGACCAAGCCATGCTTCAGTTTTATTCAGTGTTCAGTCTAGGATAAAGCTTATTTCCAGGCATTTTGGATGTATAGTGTGTGTATTAAAAAAAAAACAACAAAACAAACACCAAAAAGCAAAACACTTGAATCCAAACAGTTTCATTATAATCTAAATGATGGAAAGATGATAACTAGCAAATTATTTAGGTAAATGTAATAGTTTGCAAGTTTCCTTTGACTTGCTTAACCAAGCTTGTAATTAAAAAATACCTTAATATTCAAAGATACAATGATCAAAGGCTAAACTGGAATAGGATTTGAAGGGAGGTGCCCCTGGAAGCTTCCCCTAGCAATCTGTAGTGCAAATACACTGAAGTCAACTTCATGATGCTTACTTATGATTTGTCTGCAAAGCGTGTTACTGTATGGTCCAGTTTAATCTCCAAAAGGTTGTTAAGTTAAAATAAATCCAAAGTATAACTTCACATTTTGATAACTGAGATTCTGGAACAGCTGCTTTAGAAGAACAGCAAGGCAATAAAGCTTACGTTGTTAGAAGTAGAATTTGATAAACTTAGGAATGGGAATATGAAGCATGGATGCTTAGGATGTATCTGTAGCCCTACTGAGAAAACTTTTAAACCATGTCACCACACCTTGACTTGAACCCCTTCACACTGGTAAAGGGTCATTAGTCTAAAAAAATGTAGCATACACCCACAATATTACTGAAGTTAAGGAATCCTAGTTACAAACACAGACAAGCAAAATGCCCAGTCTAGTTCAAATGAAACAAAAATAACTGTTTAAATACTTTTTAACCACATTCACACAAGATGAAAAACACCCACTAGAGCTCACTTTAAACAATTTTATTGTTTCAAAAACCACTGCAGTTGGGAATCATATATGTTCCTGTTAAATTATGTCAGAAAAGGGTTTTGTGGTGGTAGAGTGTTTATATCAGCACGTTACAGTATTTATCGTACTTATTTCCATAACCATATTTTTGAATAAACGTATAGCACAAGTTCAGTTTTACTTTATGCATGCAGGAGTTGCAGAAAGTGTAGGAAAATGGTCTTTTTTTCAAGGTAAGAAACACTCCAGCCATTTGATAAGAAATGGAGGTAGTTTTAAGAATATAAGATACCAAGTGTCTGAACAGTGCTATATTACACAATTAACTTGCTTTTTTTGAGATAGCTTGATTATTTCATAGGGGAATGGTTCAACTGTAGGCTGGTTACAATTTCTTTACATGGACTGCCTGATACGAAGTCCTCTGATCCAAATGCTACTTTGATACCTTCACTTTATTTTATAAATTTCCAGCAAGGACTTGAGAGCCAGTGAGCTGCTGGATAGGCTTCCTTCAGGGCTCAGGAAATCTTGTTTCTAACACTTCTGTGATTTAAAGCCTGGAGGTAAGTTTTTAAACTCCTAGAGTTGCTGTTCACAGCTTTACACTTAGCTCCTCCTCATGTTATGGTATCTCCAATAGCAGCAAGTTAAGTGTGTGCAGCTGCTGAAAGCATAGCTTACACACTGAGTAAGGGGCAACAAAATGTTCATGCTAATGAAGCAGTGGGGAACCCCACACTGCTCAGGCCTCTTAAACTACAAAAATTTAAGTTATAAAATCCCCTTCTCAGATTTATTTCACAAGACAAGTTCATTTGTTGGCCTTTTTATATTAAAAAAAAAAAAGCGTAAACATTTTCAGATCTTGCATTCTGCCCGGTAACAGCATATTGCCTTTTTCCAGGCCTTTTGTTTGGCAGACAGTCTTACAGTAGTATTAATAATCCTCCTCTTCATCAGAATCCAATACTTTCCTTCTGTTGAACTAAAATGAAATACATGATGTGAAAATAGAAGGGTCACAGTAAGTCCAACACAGAGCAATCCTTTCAAACTCCACGCATTTGACAATAAATACATTACACGGGAGCAAAACATTCACCCCATCACCCTCTCCCCGCCAAGTCCCTGCCTGGCATAATGGTGGTACAGGACAGACACAGGGTAGTCTGTCTCACAACAGAACACTGATACCCCAGTGCCACTATCTGCAAATTTTACTATTGATAAGGACTGCTATGATTTAATCCCAGCACCTATCACTGTAGGTAAGAGAGGTGGTAAATACAAAGTTAAGTTCTACCCTGAACTGAAATAGTCCAATACATGCAATTTTTCTGCTCTATTTTATAACAAATTAACATTTAGGAAATAAAGCTCACCTTTACTGTTGTTTTCTTTTCTGTTTGCTGACTCACTTTTTCAAGTATTTCTATCAAACCTTGTTCCGATACCTAGGAAAGCAAAAGAAAAGCCACATAACCATATTTGGAGATACTCAGTATCAAACAACTGAATCACACTTTCACTTTTTATAATAGGTGTTTGATGGAATTATATAATAGTATTTAGAAGCTCTCAATTGCCTTTTTCAGTTATTTAATTTACAGATGTTAAAAACATCGCTTTTTTTTTTTAGAGTGAATTACGTTTGAAAATGAATATATGTGAGAAAGAATTGGAAAAACATAACTCACCTTTCCAGCTAGCTGTCCAAATCTTGCCATCTGTATAAGATAATTCTCTACTGCTTTTGCTTTGTCTGGTTTCACAAGTGCTAAATTGCTTACTGCAACAAAAACAGGCTCTGTTCATTTTGCTTTAAAACAGCTCAAATACCTTCACTAGTAACTAGAGACAAATTTGCCTATGAAGCAGTCATCTTCATGCCAGGGTCATGAAATAAATTGAAAAAGGCATTTTCATTTATGTAAAATAAAGATACAAGATAGTTATATTTCTCCTTTTAAATATTTGTTCCTAATTACATTAACTAATTTTGATTCTCATTCCTACTATTAATTAAAAAAAATAATTTCAGTAACAGCATTTGGAGGTCAGTTAACCCCTCCCCTCCAATCATTGATATCACCAACTGAAAAGCTCTAATAGCTTTATCTTCCCATCAACAACACTATTTTTCTAGTCTGGCCTATATACAAGCACAGACGTGCTTGATCTGAGCAGCACTGGAGTATGCTAGATGAGAATTTTTTATTAGAAAGTTACTTGGATACTTACATCTTGCACGAGCTGCTTGATCAAGAACTTGAGCTAAAATAGTATTTCTTATCTCTGCTTCCCTGTAATGAAAAATTAACCACACATTAAAAGTGGGATTTTAAATACCTAAAATAATATGCACAAACCAGCAAACTACAGAAGACTTTCGATTCATGTAAGTGACTTCTTGAGGTGCCTTCAAACCTTACATTTACATGATTTCTTTTATAGCATTTTCTGTCATGAGCTCTATGTATGTTGACAAAGTTACATAGCTGGCATCTTCCAAGAAATTGAGATGGAGTTTACTACTTATACCTTCTTACTGTTTATTATTACATCTTCAAGATAAAAGCCATGATGCTACCTACTGTAAAGATTCTGCATTCAGTTCCACGTGGAATTTCACCAAAGACAGTATATGGTAAAGAAGGCATAGGGAATAGTCCATGCAATTGCAAGACAGAACCAACCTCATTATTTATTTAGAATTTTTCAGTAAGTCTTCATATACTTACAATATTTGACTACGTATTTGCAAAACTGGAATTTTAGTTTATGCATTTCAGTTAACCCAAACTGTCACTGTGTGCAAAGTCTAGCTCTTTAAACACTTATTTTCTATTTTCCGCTTAGTGCAAATACTAAACACTGTTTCCGCACTAAGCTGTGGCACGAATCATTTTGTTTCATATTTTTAACTGTGACAGATGTCCCAGAAAAATCAAATCAACTAGGAAAGCATGTTCCCATTGCACTAACAGAGCCAAACCCAAACTTGTCACTCAGACAAAACCAGTGTGAGAAGAATTCTGCCAGCCTTCGAAATTTTCTTAAGACCAATTCTTACCACTCCGAAAAGCCAAGGTTTCTGAGTTCCAGAAGCAGATGACAGTGTGAGTGATGCATCCCCAAAACATACTACTATATCACCAAGGGTCATGAGGTTATAGCACTCAGCCGAGTCCCGAAGTGAAAATGAGCTGCTACTGTTGTTTTCATCCACACCCTCCCCCCCCAGTCTGGGTTCAGACTGGCTGACAGCTCTGTTGTGAATCATCCAATATAGTCATGGCCTGGAAGCCACACTTAGATCAATCAGATTTTAGCTATCCTTGGGTTAAATCTTCAACATCTCAGCTTCTTTGTTGGTGGTTTTTCCAACAACAAAAAAAATTCAGGTGAATATTCCAAAGAAATTAAATACTCAAAAAAAAAAAAAAAAGTTCAAAACAATTAGATGCAAGACCAAAAGTCAATAGTTCTCATTTATACCTCTGTTTTGCTTCCTGTTGCGATGGATCACCAGAAGAATCCTAAAGAATGAGATCAGAATAAATATGATCATCCAAAACCATTCCACGCAGGACAGTAAGTTTAAATCTTCCAGCAGTGTCAATGTGAGCTAAACCTGCCTGCTAAACCCACCTGACCATGGACGAGATCCTAAAAATGAGAATCTGCTGCCCTAGCAAATAAACATGCCCTACTATGCTTTCTTCACAAAGCAGTAATGCAAACTAGTGTGATGACTAGTGCTACTGGATCTATCCACAGATTGTTGTAGGTTTGGACATTAAAAGGCCTTCCCATTAGGTCTAAGATAATAAACTTTCCCAAAGCCCAGAAAACAGACAAAAGCATTTAAAACCCATTAAAGTAAGCTAGGGACAAATGAAACTCAATGTAACATTCTGTATTTATCAATACAGAAGAAAACACAATCCTAGCACAGTATTTTTGGATTAATATCGCCAGCTGAGCTGACTATTCAGAAGCAAATAACAAGAAAAAGAGGAAACAACTGAACTTTATGTTGAATCTGCACCTCAAATTTTATAAGTAACATTTCAAAGTATGAGAGCGGAACAAGAAATGATACAGAGAGAGGAAACGAGGCTGATCACAGGTATGGAAGATCCCTTCACAGGAACAACAGAACAGGCTGACACATTTCAGCTCTGAGAACGGAGATGACTGTGAAGATCGATGATGGTAATCCCTAAAACTGCGAGTGGCACGGAAAAAGGTGGTGGGGAGGGAAGGGTTATGTGCTGAACCTTCCAAGGCAGCAGCCAGGGCACCCAAGGCAGGTAGCAGGAGGCAGGCTCAAGACGCCCTGAAGGCGCTGACTGCTCCGGCAGCAGGAGAGGAGAGGAGAGCCTGGGGGGGTGCCCTGCCGGTCCTCACCCCCCGCCCGCTCCGGGCGCCCGTCACCGAGGCTGCACTCGGCGACGTTTCCAGCAAAAAGCCCCGGGCACGGCCGGGCTGCTCCCGGCTTCCCCCCCCACCCCGGGCCCCAGCCGGAGCCTTTATTCCCGGAGAGGCCTCCTCACGGCGCGTCCCCTCCTCTCCCCCGTGCCCGCTCCTGCCTTCCCGGGGGAGGTACGGGCGGAGGGACAGGCCCCGCCGAG